GCCTTTCGAGAAGGTGGATCCTCCTTCACCTGTCAGCTGCTCCTGACTATTGAGTAGGTTTGGGATGGAAAGACTTGGAAGGTGCTGTGAAAATACTTTAACTATGTACTTCTTTAAATATTAATATCAAAATCTTCATTGCTTAACTTAGTGTTTTTAAATTAATTTATTCTTCCATCGTTTCATATATAATACATTTTGGTTACACTCATCCCCCATATTCTCTTAACTTCCTCCCACTTCCACAAACAGCCTCTCTCCTTTCTCCCCGCAAGAATCCATCCCACTTTCGTGTCTTTTTTGCTTCTCTTTGTCACTCACTGGGTTTAACTAGGGCTGCTCACGTGAACACGGATGAGGAGCTTTGTGCTAAAGCATCACCAGTAGCCTCAGCATTGAAAACAATGACTTCTTCTTCCTCATGACGACCCAAAGCTCCCCTGGTCAGGGTGGTCCAGTGAGCCCCACCTGCATCTGTTGCTGAGTATTTAAGAGCTCACTCCTATGTAGACCTGTTGCAAAAATTCTTTATTCCTGGCAGGCTTAAACAGTGCCTATCCCTCCTCCTCTTAAAATCCTAAGGACAAACGGAGGCGTGATTCCACCAAAGTTAACTTGGGGAACCAATGAATTTATCGGCCCCACTGAGAGCAGGGTGCCTACAGTAGTGTGAATGCCACCCCTCCCCGCAAAGGCTTCACCAGAAAGTCTTTACCAGCTTTCCTGTAGCCTCATAGGTGGAGCCTCACCCCTTCTCTCATCTTTCATGACCTATATACTCTAGCTCTTCCCCAAGACCAAGTGCAATCTGGGCAGGATTACATCCAAGAGGTGGTATGGAAATTCCCCAAGCCCCTCTACAGTTCGCAAGCCGGCTGTGATATTTTTGGCAAGTGGGCACAGCTCAAATTGTCAGTTGTTCCCCTTGGATTGTCACATCGAACAAAGTCCTCCATTGGCAACTCCTTTTGCTGTAAGTTCATGAGTGGCTTGGTCATGTCATGCTCCGAAGACAGCATTTTTCAGCCCTTCTCCCCAAGGTTGCACTCTTAGACTCTTTTTGCCCCTGTCTTCTGTGATGTTTCCTGAGCCCAAGATTAGTATTCCTTTTTTTTAAAAAAATTATAATTGTGTGTATATGTGAGTGTTTATGATGTGTGTGTGTGTGTGTGTGTGTGTGTGTGTGTGTGTGTGTGTGTGTGTGTTTATGTGAGCATGCCATGGCACACATGTGGAGGCCAGAGCACAGCATTGTGGAGTTGCTTCTTTCCTTCTACCTTTATGTAGATCTTGTGGACAAATCAGATCAGACCTACGTATACAGTGCTCTTACCCACTGAATCATCTTGCTGCGTGGTTCAGAAGCTTAGTATTCTTGATGGAAGAATTGCTGGGAAGTGAATAGTATGTCTTTTAGAGCATTGAACCTTGATTTTGTTGTTGTTGCTGTTGTTATTGAGCCAACATTTTCATTGTTCTATAAACATACTACTATGCTCCTCAGAAGTATACATTTGCTTTGAAGTGCAGGAATTCCATATTGTTTTGCTATATTTATTGCAAATAGCTGCTCATGTAGGATACACATTATTGGCAGTGCTACCATTTATCAGGTAGCACGTTCATCGTTATCCTTTATGCACACAAAGCCTTGTTTGAATGTTTGTCTTTTAATGAGTGGTGATGAAATGGAAAGGCACAAGAGTTACAAATACAACCCAAACTGTTTTCTTAGCCATTGCATTTACATTTTTGTATTGGAAAAATAAGAGACCTAAAGCAGCATTACTTACTGCATTTACTTTTATTACTTCCTTTTTGTGAGATTATAATGTAATAACATCATTTACTCTGGGTTCCTCCCTCCAGACCCTCCAATATACACCTCTCTTTCAATTTCATGGCACCCTTTTAATTAAATATTGTTATATGTATATACTTATATAATCTTACGTATAATCAGTTCAGGCTGTATAATGTTACTTGTATGTAGGTTTTCAGGGCTGATCACTTGGTATTGAATAGCCAACTAGTGTGGTCTATGAGGGGCAGAGTATTTTCATCATGCTCAGCATTTCTTAGTTGACTGTAGTTCTTTGTGTAGAGTTGAAGTCTTTTGGTTAATCTCCCCTGTCCACTTTGGCATGTCTATTAAGGTCCTTGATCAGCTTATGTTTAGGTAGCCATATTGATGAGATTCTATGGATGTAACTTTTGACATTGCTAGGCAACGCAGTCTCACAGCTAACTCCTTGATCCTCTGGCTCTTACAATCTTTCCACATCGTTTCACAATGTTGTCTCATCCTTAGATCCTGAAGTTGTTTTGTGGGTGTATCCATTGGACCTAGGCTCCACATGTCTGCATTTTAATTGATTGTGGTTTTCTGTAACGGTCTCTATGTGTTGCAACGATATGAGTTTCTTTGATGAGGGATGAAGACTGTCTGTGGGTATAAGGACAAATATTTAGAATGAAGTTAGGGATTATGATGGTTAGTAAAGTGGTGGTCACTGTCTCTTCCAAGATCCATGACTTTGCTAGCACTGGGTAGTTGGCTAGGTTTCCAGTACCAGGCTTCATTTCATTCTTATTGAACAAGCCTTAAGTCCAATTAAAGAGCTGTTGGTTATCGCTAAGGTCTGTGTGTCACACTCTTCCACTCTGCGGGCTATCCTGCCATGGTAGTTGCTGTTGTGGCACATAGGCATCATGGTGGGATAGGACTGTTGCTTGCTTCCCTCCTTTGGAAGCTTGCATGGCACCTTCTGTTTCCTAAAAGTTCATCCTCAGAGAGGAGGAATTCATGTCAGTTCCAGTTCAGGAGTCCCTGGATCCTGTGTCTAAATTGCAAGGTGTCTTCAGCATTGGGGACTTAACTTCCATCTCTGGGGACCAAACAAGGGCCATACCAATAACCTGTAATATGGGAGTTTCTTGGACAACCCTGACCAATAATTCAAAGGAGGGCTTTCTCATACCTGGTGCTTTGTTTGTTTGTTTGTTTGTTTGTTTTTGTTTTTTGTTAGTTGGTCTTTGGCTATTGGAAGGAGCGTTGGCAACCAAGATGAGTAAATTTCATTTAAACTGTACATGTATAAATACATAAATGTCATATAGTTTTTATAAGCAATATAGTTCTATGTAATATCGTTTTTAGGTAGATAGTTATGATTACTTATGACTTTTTCAGCTATCCTTACTGTTATTTCTCCCTCTGTATTTGTCTCCCCCATGCCTAATAAGAAGCGCCCCTGTTTTTCCCCTCCCCTAGTCAGATCACAGGCACCCTGCAATTCCCTTAACATAGCTCACGTCTGAGTTTCAGTTGTTCAGGTAGAATGCTTATTGATCAGCCCTTTTCCTTTTCCTCCCTTCTTTTGTCAATATTTTGAGTATTTATTGTTTATTAAAAGTGATGAGATACGGATATGAAATAAACTTATCTGTTTATAGACTTACTTCTCTTTATAGTAATCAGATTATTTATGCATAAAATCTAAAAAATATTTATAGACTTTATGCTTTAATTTTTTTCATTAAAAACTAGAGTCCATCCAACATACAAATATTATATAAAAGTTCACATTTTTCATTATTTTCTTCAAATATAATTGCTACTGGCTGATGGGGGAATGTCTTTCTGTACGCTGTGAATATGTGTTTCTCTGATTGGTTGATAAATAAAGCTGTTTGGCCTATGGCAAGGCAGCTTAGAGGCAGGCGAGAAATTCAAAGGGAGAGGCAGGAAGATGGCGGGGGAGATGCCAGCCCATACCAGGGAGCAGCACGTAATGGGACACAGGTAAAGCCACGGAATACGTGGCAACATATAGATTAACAGAAATGGTCTGAGTTTAAATTTAAGAGCTAATGAGTGGAAAGCCTGAGCTAATGGCCAGTTTTAATTATTCCAAGCCTCTGTGTGTTTAATCAGCTACAACTGGCAGTTTAAGAATATTTTCAAATTCTTTTCTATATGTTTGTTCACATAACATTTATATATTTGGGCTGCTGTGTGTGTGTGTGTGTGTGTGTGTGTGTGTGTGTGTGTGTGTATAAAAGTTTATGCTGAGGGAATAGCATTCTAAAATTTGCATTTGAATTTTTATGTTGGAGGTATTTACCTGAGCATTTTCTGTTAAAAGTTCCATGATATTCCTCAGTACAGGTATTACAGCTTATTATTTTTTAAGCTATCCCGCCTCATATATCTGTATTGTTTCTAATTTTTGTTCTTATAAAAATTTTTATATTACTTTCTTTATATTGTTTGTATTCAGTGATTTTGTATAAGACCTTGCAAATGTATCATTTTATTACTGGCTTTTTTTTTAATTTTCAAAAATGAATAAAACTCTGGTTGCAATTTTCTTTCTTTTTTTTTTTTCGAGACAGGGTTTCTCTGTGTAGCTTTGGAGCCTGTCCTGGAACTCACTCTGTAGCCCGGGCTGGCCTCGAACTCACAGAGATCTGCCTGCCTCTGCCTCCCGAGTGCTGTGATTAAAGGCATGTGCCACCACCGCCCGGCAGCAATTTTCTATTCTATACACTTTAGTAGTTTCCCCCAAACTTAGCTGTTAGCTCTCACATGACTAATTGGACTTCACATCTGTATTTCTCTATGTCTATAGAAATTCCAAAAGTTTTACATTAAAATTGAGAACATTGGTTACTCCTGGTGTCACCGGCTTTTGGCACCTCGTAGCTATAGTTAAGAAAAAACACACTGAATATTATCTAGCATGTTGGGCCTCAAGCATGAACTGGATAATTAGTGTAGCTCACATAAAACGGCTGTAACTAGCTGCATAGATAGGCATGCACCGAGTCTGCTGGTGGAATTCTTAACCAAAGGGTTTACATATCTACGTATTTTAAAATTATATCAATTTTAAATGTCATGCAGGAAATTATTTTGGTGTTTATTGTTTAGTAAGATTATATATATTAGAGGAAAAATGAAAACTTTTATTTACGTAAGTTTACGTTTTCTACAGTTTTGTCAAAAGAACGTGCTTCACAAATCCTGGTGAGGAAGCGCCGTGCAAATGCCTTGCTTGAAGAAACTAAAAAGGGCAATCTGGAAAGAGAATGCATTGAAGAACTCTGCAATAAAGAGGAAGCCAGGGAGGTCTTTGAAAACAATCCAGAAACGGTAAGAATTCCTGGAAACTGTCAAGTGCACACTTAGATACACATTACAGTAGGAACGTTGCCAGCTTGAGTTTCCGTTTGAAAGCTGATGCTTTTGCAGATCATTTGTCCTGTGTTACCACTGTCATTTCAGGCAGACTGCCAAGGACAGGTGCTCTGGCCAAGCTAGGATTTCCCTTAAGTCTCATTATCAACAACTAGTATTGACTTTATGATTTGTAACTATTTTATTATTCTAATCAAAATTTGGTAGCATTGTGGGTTCAAGAGCGGATGCGTATGAAGTATAAGTGACTGTGATTTTTATATATTTTGTTTTGGTTGATTGATTGATTGTATTTAAGAGAGTCACTTACTCTGTAGCTCGAAGTACCATGGAACTCACTATCCTCCTGCCTCTTCTTCAGCCTCCCAAGTACTGTGATTATAGGCTAATATACACCACCATGGACAACCTTGCCATTTATCTTTAAGAAGCTCTAGAAATAGGGCCACCTACCCGAGATTACTTATTACAGTGTTATGTATGCAGAGTGCATGTTATTCTATAACCTTCATAAAGTTTCCTGAGGCCACTGATAATCAGCAATAATCTTTAGTGTATAAAAATTTCCAAGTTGCCCACCCTCCAAATATAACCATAAAGACAGCAACGTGGGACTTACTGATTTAGGAGAGGGTGATCTATAGCATGCCTTTGGCTAGCAGGAGCAGCATTAACATCTCCAAGAAGTGGTGTAAGCATGACGTTGAGAGTCTAACTGTCACACCCTTCAGGGTTCCCTCACATATTTTACCTTAGCTGACTTATGCAATCTGGAGTAAAAGAGGGAGAAGACATAGATCAAGCTCCTCCTATGCCTCTGTCACAGCTCCCAGCACCATGACAATAGCTAAGTGATAACGAGCAAGAAGGCTTTGTCCATAGTTAGAAAATTTGTCCCAAACTGTAGCTACTTGTGTTCTCTGTGGCTGGGTTTGCAGCTCTTTTTAACCCTACATGTTCTGATAGGTTCAAAGGAGAAATTTCCCCAAATACACAACAATTAATTTTTAATCTGTCTAGAATTGGGACAGAAATGTGTTAAAATACCTTGATTAAAAAAAAAAAAGCAACTTAAAGAGGAAAGGGTTTATTTGGCTTACTGGCCTGAATTACAGTCCATGGAGGGAAGCTGAAGAAGGAGCTCAAACCAGGTGGGAACCTGGAGGCAGGAGCCGTGGCAGAGGGTATGGAGGAGTGCTGCCTATTGGCCTGCTCCTCATGGCTTGCTCATCTTGCTTTCTTGTTTTTTTTTTTTTTTTTTTTTTTTTCTTTTTCGAGACAGGGTTTCTCTGTGTAGCTTTGCGCCTTTCCTGGAACTCGCTTTGGAGACCAGGCTGGCCTCGAACTCACAGAGATCCGCCTGGCTCTGCCTCCCGAGTGCTGGGATTAAAGGCGTGCGCCACCACCGCCTGGCTCATCTTGCTTTCTTATAGAACCCAGGGTCACCATCCCAAGGGTACCATCATCTACAATGGGCTGGGCTCTCCCCATCAATCACTAATTAAGAAAACTCCCTACAGGTCTGCCTACAACACTATTTTATTGAGGTTCCCTCCTCTCAGATGATTCTAGCTTGTGTCAAGCTGACATAAAATTAGCCAACACAGACACTAATGATACAAAATTTTCTATCCTACACAATATAGTACACTTATTGTATAGGATTTTACATATATATTCCATGTTTTACATTTCCATACTTAAAAGGAATATGCATGCACTCTTACAAACTTCCATATATTAGATGGATGCTTATATTCCTTCCCTTTATGGAAATTTAAAAAAAAGTAGAAAGAACAATATCATAAACCCCAACACACCACCTCCCTCTAATAATGATCAAGTTTTCCATTTTATTTTGCCTGTCCACCTCATCTACTCAGTGGTTTTTTTTTTTTTTTTTGAGAGATTGCTTTGAGTACTCATGCTACACAGTTATATCATCCATAAATACTTGAGTGTCTATTTCTGCATTGTAGCTATGTTCTCAGAGGTCAGCCTTGAAAGGGTAATAGGGAGGGAAGATAGAACACAGGAAGGAAGGGGGAAGAAGGTGGAGGAGGAAAATACAGTCATGTTTCTTCACCTTCACTAACATTGGTTTTGTTGACAGATTCCACCCACTCTCTGTCCATCTCCCTCAAGTATATCCTTAGTCCATTATTCTCGGTGTTAACCCCATTGTCTACCTCTTCACTGTTATTCTTGTCATCATCATATCACCGCTCTTTGAACCCCATCTGTTGCTCTTTATTGTCTTGCCTTCGTTTCTGCAGTAAACAACACTGTTCTGAGTGATGCAATGCCAGACCCCTTTCTCATGAGCCAATACAAACCTGCTGGGCATGTTTATATGTGATAGGATGAAAGAGTGAGGACTTTGAGTTGGAAAAAGCCATGTTCCACTCTGACTGAGCCAGAACTGTGAATATTTTTTTTGTGCAGAAATTTTGTTTCTGTATGAAATATTCTTGTGTTATTTATGCTAAATATTAGCTACATTATGAGTTTACTGTCAGAATTTCATAAAAATTACCCCCTTCATAAAATACATTCCTTCATCCATGTGGCGATTATTATTTTGGTACCCACCAATATATAAGGAAGGTGTTTGATTACATGTGCATTGCATGCAACAGGTAAGTGTTCAGTTCCCTTCAAATTATTTCATTGTTGACTCCAATGTAGAGAATCATCATGACATCAGATGTGTCAAATGAAGGCTGGATGTGGTGGTGCACACATTTAATCCCATCACTCAGAAGCAGAGGAAGGTGGGTCTCTGAGTTTGAAGTGGACCTGATCTACATAGTGAGTTCCAAGGTAGCCAGAACTATGTAGAGAGACCCTGTAAAAAAAAGTGTATTAAATGGATGTTTAATCACCATGAAAAAAATTAGGGGATTATAAAATAGGGCATATACTGTTATATTTACCATCTTAAGTACAACCAGTTCAAATTAGAAGGTTTAATTGTTCAGTAGTATTTTAAGCCTATATATATGCATATATATATATATATAATGGTCAATTATATATATATATATAATGGTCAATTATATATATATATATATATATATATATATATATATATATATAATGGTCAATTATTGGCTATCTATGTATTCTTAAAGTATTTTCATATGGAAAAATTAGAATTGTGAAAACACATAACATGTAGTTTATTTCCATATAACATAAAAACTACAAATTTTCATACGTTGAACCATCCTTGCATCTCTGAGGTGAAGCCTACTTGATCATGGTGGATAATTTTTTTGATGTGTTCTTGGAGTTGGTTTGCCAATATTTTACTGAGTATTTTTGCATCAATGTTCATGAGGGAGATTGGTCTGTAATTAACTGGAAAATTAATCTTTAACTCTGTAGTGAAACTCGAGTTTGCTAATATATCTTTTTTTTTTAATTTTCTTTCTAGGATTATTTTTATCCAAGATATTTGGGTAAGTTTTAAGTATCTGTAATATAAAATATTGAAAATTGAAGGGAATTTAGATATGTTCAAACCTCTCTCTGCCCAAATACCCATCCAATACTGTTTTATCATCCTTGAGAAGATGTAAGAGCTATGATACTCTTGTATTTACAGTCATGTACACTAATTTAGAATGGCTTTTTATTATGTTTCACTTTAATTTTAGATTTCCATGTCTTTTTTCTAAAGTATCTTTAGGCTGAGGCCAATTATATTCAGGCACTCAGACATTATGCACAAATATGTGTTCATGGGCTATCTTTCAAGAAATAAAAGATATCTAAGCTCATCAAATAGTACACAATTGTCACCCAGCCATTTGTAGAAGTCATTCATAGCTCCTCTGTTTGTGACATCATCTCATCACTCCCATTAGTATCCCAGCAATATTCATGCTGTTTTGGATTCTGGGATGCCAATAATGTAGTACATGTACTCAAGTCCTGCCATGATAATAATGGACTGAACCTCTAAAACTGCATGCAAACCACCACAATTAAATGTTGTCCTTTATCAGAGTTACAGTGATCATGGTGTCTCTTTACAGCAATAGAAACCATGACTGAGACAAATGACTTCAATTAAATACTACTTCAAAGTAACAAAGTTTGTTTTCTAAAAGAAATGTAGAAATGTTTCGTATTAATATTATTTGGGAGTGTCATTTCTGTTTCCAAATGGTCACACTGGGGTCCAATTTGTGCATCTGTTTCTTATGTGATTATCCATGTTTGCAACAGATGCCCATTTTCCTCCTTTTCTTGCTGAATACCCCTTATCTATGCTTGTTTTCACTCCATTCTTACCTCTAACCAACAAGGAATAAAAAGCAAATCTTAGGAAAAATATAGAAATGAACACTGATGTTATTAATATAGTCTTATAAATGGTCAAGCCATTATACTCATTTATCCTGCAATTTGAGTGTAGTTACAGTTTATGTTTTTATATATATATATATATATATATATATATATGTATACACACAAACACACATATATATTTATTTATTTATTGCTCTCTGTGTACTCTTGGAGCAATTCCAGGAACATTTTGAGAAGAAGAATATATCTTGGACCTTTGGAAATCTTATATTGAAATGATGTTATGGATTTGTAATTATCTTTCAGGACAATTTAGTAGGTTAAAAGTCAAAGACCACTGGGTACAAGATCTTGTTTTAGAAACAGGTCCTCGATTGCTCTTGCATAGTTCTTAGTGAACAGGATGGTTAGGATCCCATATTTATAGCACTTGCTGAGCTTGGGTGTTTGACTATATTATATAACGCTCTAGTACATTGTGTTACCAACTGTAAGACATCAACCAGTTCTACAGTATCTCCCCTGGAGCACAGGAAGATCTTAGCTCCCCAAGCTTTATGAGCTCATTTGTCATCTTTTAGATGGATTTTCAGCATGTGTCCAAAGCACTTATTAAAATGTATTTCTTTTTTGTTCTCTTCATTTTGCTCCTGTAATGTGCAGTTTCTGCTTGCTTCTTTCTCTTCCTTTCTTTCTTCCATGTTTTAACCAGGCTGGATCCCTCTTAACTTCCATGATGAGATGAGATGGGATGCATTCAGGGTGGTAAGGCTAAGTCCTTTCTTTGCTTCTCTAGCTATTAACACTACTGTTGAATATTTTCTTTCAAGGGCGCAACATGAACAGCAATTGAGAGGTGGTGTTATTTGTGCCTACAGATAAGAACTGCAACAAGGACTTGAAAAACCCTTTGCTTTTACATTTTAAGTGGTAGAGAATGGATAAAAGCATTCATCCATGAAAGGCTCTCTATTTTTGTATACATAATGAGTCACTTCTTTCTAAAACAAAAGCCAAGGGTTTACATTACTGAAGCTATTGAAAAATGATAGGTCATCAAGACTATTCCAGCCTCTCATATTTGGAGAATAAAAATATAATATTTTTTATTATAAAATGAGACATTACTTAGCTACTAAAATTGTAAGGTTATCTTAACCTTGTTTCTTAGGGCCATGTAATGATGTAGTGTTTTTGCAGGAGCAACAGTCTAAAATCTTTGATCAGAGTATATTTGAATAAGGATAAATAATGTTCTAATGTAGAACTATGTGTTTGGGAGAGGTTCCTTAATTAACAACTTTTTTCTTTTTTTTCTTTTCTAATCTTTTTCTTTTCTGGATCCATCCTTCTTTCTCTTCTGTTGCCCTGGCTTCCTTGGCAGCATGATAGAAGACTAAAGTACAAAACAAAACTCAGAATCTGAGATGTGGGATCCAGTGTCAGAGTAAACGTTAGCTGGCTACTCAACTCATTGGAGTCTATGTTTTTTCTTTTTTTTGTGTTGTTGTTGTTGGTTTTGTGTGGTTTTTTTAAAACTATTTTAAGGGGTTTCTATTTTCTATGTGCAGAATATCACTATATTTTCTAGCTTCAGAGCTCTTGAATTTTAAGGAGATTAATAATAGATTTATTGTTCATTTTTCTTCTAATATAAGGTGTTATTATTTAAATCATCAGATGGAACAAAAATGCTTTTGATTGAAATTTTATATGTAGTATTGTATGTATAAGTAGTGAGTTCCACTGTTGAAAAAGAAAATTCCTTGCCAAAGTTACACATTTAGTCACTGGATGGGCATAGGGGCAATGGTTCTAAATTAGAAAAAAATACACTGTATAATTCTGTTCACAATAAAGATAGTAGTAGTTTAACCATCCATAACTTATGCTGGGCTTTTCTTACAAGGACAGAAGGTTATTCAGCAAATTAGACCACAGATGTTAATACATTTTGGACAATGTCTAGACTTAAAATTGAAGTACTTTGTACAGTTACCTGTGCCCTCTGTTGCCCTTACGACATTCAATTTGAAATAGAAATATCCTGGGTTCACTGACATTTATTGCATACATGGAAATAATTAATGTAATTAGTTTGCTTCAACAAATAAAAAACAGATAATGTTTTCAACAAATTCATTAAAATGCAGTTTTATTATACAAACATGTTTATATGTGAACTTATAAAATCAAGCTTATAAACTTTTTTTGAACTGCTAGAGATTGAACCCAGTCCTTGCATGTGCTAGGTAGTACTCTGCCACTGAGCTATAACCCCAGAATAGCATTCTAATTTAAACTCTCTTTTTTCTGAGGAAATAGGATAAATAAGTTTACCATCTACATAGACATTGGAAAATATCACCTGGAAAATTAGATGACTTTGTTCATGGAGAAAAAGTTTTCTGCAAAATGATAAACTTTGACCCTAATTGTAAATATTAGAAATCATTATTTTAGGGTTGGAGATGTATCTCATTGGTAGAGTTCTTCTCAGATGGGTATAACTCCTAAACACACACACACACACACACACACACACACACACACACACACACACACACACGATAGGTAGATAGATAGACAGACAGACAGACAAATAATAAAATACATGCTTTACTTTTGGGAGCCCGGTGCCTGCGGTGTGACGCCTTGCACAGCCTTGGTGCAGTGGGGGTGGGGGGGCTTGGACCTGTCTCAGTTCAGTGTGCCTGTTTCTGATGACCCCCCCACCCCCCAGAGACCTTGATTTGGGGGATGTGGGCATGTGGGGTGGCTTGGGAGGGAGGACTGGAGGGTGGGAGGAAGGAGGAGGGGGATCTGTGGGTGGTATGTAGAGTGAGTAGAAAATTTCTTACTAGAAAAAAAATACATGCTTTAGTATGTATTTTTTGTATGTATTCATCATGCCAAGCTGATGAATTAATCCAGACTTCTTACTTCATTTTTTCACATCATCTCTAGAGAAACATTAGGAGTCTAGATACTAATGATAATAAGGTTTTAAAACAACAAGTAGACTGAAGTCTGTCACCTGGTGAGAGACAAGTTACTGTAGTAACTAAGTGCTCAGGTGAGAAGACAATCCACAAGGCTTGAAAGAGGCCTCAGTGCTCCAGTGCAGGAAACAAGAAGTACAACAGAGTAAGCCACAAATAACAAGAAATAAAAACATGAATGAAAGCAGGTGAAACGGAAAACAGCAACGAGAACTGATAAAAGCAAAATTCAGGCTTTGAAAAGGTTTGCAGTTTACAAGAGTAACAAACTAAAAACATGGAGTGACTTCAAAGGAGCCTTTCAATCTGTCTTTGATAGATTGCCTTTTCCAAGTTGGCACAGAAGTATCTTCTGCTCCTCATGCTCTCCGATGTGTCATTTTCCCACTCCCCTATCAGGAGGTCGATTCTGTCTTCACCACCCACACCTCCTTGGGTGGATTCTTGAATTGCTTTCATCATAATATATGGTAGCAATGGTACCATGCCTCTTAAAGGGCCTGCAGCACCTCTCTCCTTGGATGCTAGCTGCTATGGAATAAGGTCCACTTTTAGACCAGCGTAGTGAAAGAAACTCACTCATGTGAAGAGACCCTGACATATGATATTCTATTTGCCAGTAGAGGTGGGGTGCCAGATATCCTGAGCTGTCACATCAGAGTGAAAGCCCATCTTGGAATGGCTTTTTACTTTAATCAGACACTCGCGCTGACTCCACATGCCACAGACAACTTTAGTTAGGTGAATCAACCGCTTCCCAGATATTTGACTCAAAACTACAGTCCCAAATGGCTATGATTTAAACTAGTAGTTTTGGGGATGGCTTGTTATTCTGCAAAAGGTAACTCATTGTTGAGTATTTGAGCAATGAAGTAATACATGCCATTTCTTTTATGTCAACTGGGAAATATGTTTGGAGAATTAAACAGCTCTTAATAACATTAAAGTCCCTAAGTATTTTATCTCGATTACAGCATGTGTTATTTCTTAGTTTGTTAGCCATTTAAGCCATGTCTTTCATAGACTGTAGTCAGGAACAAAAGGAATGGAGTCAGCTGTGGTTGATATATTGTGCACCCCCAATAAACTTATCTGGGGGTCAGAGAACAGAACAGCCACTATATTAAACATAGAGGTTAGGCAGTGGTAGCACACGCCTTGAATCCTAGAGGCGATGGATCTCTGTGAGTTCAAAGCCACACTGGAAACAGCCAGGCATGGCGATACACTCCTTTAATCCCAGGAAGTGATGGCAGGAAGCAGAAAGGTATATGAGGTGCGAGGACCAGGAACTAGAGTCTTGTTAAGCTTTTTGGCTTTTAGCAGCAGTTCAGCTGAGATCCATTTGGATGAGGACACAGAGGCTTCCAGTTTGAGGAAACAGGATCAGCTGAGGAATTGGTAAGGCAAGGCTAGCTGTGGCTTGTTCTGCTTCCCTGATCTTCCAGCATTCACCCTAATACCTGTCTCTGGGTTTGTTTTTATTAATAAGACCTTTTAAGATTCATGCTACAGTCAAGCATTTTGTGATATTAAGGAATTATGCAAATATTATTGTGTGAGTCTCTATGAAGCACTGGAAGACCTTGAGGTTGCCTGCAGCAACTAGAAACACTGACTCTTATTGACTTAATTATACATGCCGATTCTATCAGGCTCTGGTCTGCAGCTTTGCAAGTTTCTTTGCTACAAATTGAAAACACAGATTTATGTGACAGATTTCCTTACTAATCTTAGGTCTTTTTTTTTTTGTCTTATTTTAAGTTAGGGTTCTTATCCACATACAGAAGCTTTTATTAACCTACTTTCCATGACTGTTGCTTATTGCAAGCTGCATAGTAGATTTTTAACTTTTCAGAGAGATAAATGTACTACAACAAAACGCTATCTGTGAAGCTTCTACTGATAATGAGTCAGGAAGAAAAGTGCCAGGTGAAGGAAGACTTGACAAAGAATGGGAACAAAACCCAGCCAGTTCGTTTCTTTTAAAGTTGATAGTGAAGCAAATGTTTTGGATCCACAAACCAGTACAGCAGATGAATGGGTTCTCTTGGTATCTTATCAGAAATGGAAAGTCTAGGTCTAGGACAGATGTGGTGATGCGTACCTGGAATCCCTGAGCACTCAGGAGGCTGAGGCAGGAGGATCATGATCATGTTCAAAGCCAAACTGCACTGTTTTGGAGAATAGAGAAGGGCTGAAGAGATGGCTCAGGGGTTAAGAACATATATTGCTCTTGCAGAGGACTTGAGTTCAGTTCAGGTTCTAGGGGAATCTGATACCTATGATCCTGCACAGCCACCTGTACATTCCCCTGCACAGATACATACATATACACATCATTTAAAAAATAAGTCTTAAAAATAAAAATGAATTAAAAAAAGAAATTATCTAAGGCACATTCTGTAACATCTCAGGGAAGAATTCCTTTTCATCCAATGTTTCAGTATCCAGATGGTCTGAAGACCTGCCCAGTGACAATAGTGATTCCCCCAGGCACCAGAGCATTCTCGACATAGTTACATCTATGCACTCTTGTTCAAAGCATCATACACATTTGTGCTTTATTGCAAGGCATTCTGCTTAGTACAAAAACCTGACATCTTCAAGAAACAGAAAAGCTCACAACAAACAGAAGTTGAATAGTGGCAGAAACTTAGGAATCAACCTGTAAATTTATTCTATCAATACAGCACAGCAGGAATAAAAAGAATGCAGTGTATTCTGGGTTCCTTTAGCACTTTGGCATGAAGAACCTGCCATAAGTCAAAATGAAATCGCTACTAAGAAATCCCAAGGGCCTTCCAATAAAAGAAGTTCCATCATGTGAAATAAAGGAAGGTCTGATGGCTCCACTACAGAACGCTGTGCCTCATGTCAGAAATATCCAGTCAGGGCTGAAAGATTCACTTATATTACCGTGCGTAAGACAAAGAGTGAGAATTGGGCATTCCAGGTGATGTCAATGATTTTATTCACACAGCAGCTGTCAAAACCTCCTGGAGGAAAGGCTAAGCAGTTGGAATTGCTATTGATAATTGCAAGGGAGACCACTTATAGAAATGTGGGTGAATTTTGGAATAGAAGCCAAATGTTCAATAGTCCGAGCAGACCTCAGCACCGGCAGCCAGAACTGAATCCACAAACACTAAGGAGCAAAATAGTCTTTCAGAACAAGAGCCATGTGAGGTGTTAAAGTAAACCGAAGCAGGCCACAAACTGCAGGAGGGAAACTAGAAACCACAGAGCTGCCACCAAAAGGACAAATAGGAAAAAGATACAAAGGTAGCAGTCTCTGTGATGCCCAAGGGACCCGAGAAATGAACGTTTGTTTGATGCTGGAGTTTTCCAAGTTGAAAGGTCTGTTCACTCATGCTCTGACCTTCCTATGTGTCTTCTGAAAGTCTTTCTCAAGAGGCAGAGTGCTTGCCTCACAGGAGGAATCCATGGTTGGGGAGCTCACAGCCCCTACTATTATTTTGCTAAATGAATGTAGTATCAAACTGCCCTCTAAATTCAAATATCTCTACCTGTACTTTCCTGTAGCTCGCAGACCTAGACAGAGAAATGTCTTTATGCAGTGGATGGTGATTAATGCGGAAAACACAACTGGTCAAAGTGAGGAGAATACTTGTCAGTGGAGTGCTCAGGCGCAAATGGGAATTTTTTTAATCTCATCCCTTCTCTGAGGTTCAAGGTCCATGCCCAAAGAGGGGATGGGGAGACTGCTAGAGCCAGAGGTAGGGGAGTACTGGAACAAAGCAGTGTCATCTGCACATGACAGGTCCGATGCACTCATGTGTTCAGAGCAGCTGTGGATGCCTGCCCAAGACCAAGGCAGTCGACATTCTAGCATGGAGTGGGAGGGGTTCATGAGCCTCCATGCCTAGCTGGGGAGCTATGGGCAGTTGGTGGCATCTGGGGGAGGGAGAGTCTGGCCCTATAGCGAGGAATATATGGGCAGAACAAACTGAAGTGAGAGAAATTTCATACGTGATACCTTAGCAATATGGCTGCCTTGAAAAAGACCTGAAGAAATACAGTATCAATAGACATGCTAACACAGAAGAGGTCAATCTCATGGGGCACCTATAGACAGAGAACTAAAGGCAACCCAGGAATGCTGACAGTAGGAGAAATAGTCCTCTCCAGGGATGAAATCCCTAGTTGGTTATCCAACACCAAGTGGTCAGCCCTGAAGTCTATGCACATAAGTAACCTACGACTGAGGAGGTTGTGTTTGTGTATTTACGCCGTAGTTTTGAGAAGAAACAAGTGAGAAGGGGTAGGATAGAGAGGAGGGTTGGAGGGAGAAAAGGGAAAGAGAGAAATGATGGAATTATATTTTCATTTGCAATTCAACAAAATAAAACAAGAGGACATGACATTGGTGAGACTGAGAGATGGAGTGGATCTTGGAGGAGTTGGAGGTGAATCTGATATGATTGTATTAAAAATAAATGTATGAAATTCTCAAAAAAATTAGCAAAAAATGTATTTTTATAAGAAAACTTAGAACCACTGAGTGTTAGGAAGACTGTGGCTTAGAGCGGGCTACAGTGGGCCTTTAAAGACAAACTATGCCATGAGAAGATTGCATTTCAGGGTACCAAAAGGTGGACACATTTCAAATAGAACCTTTCAAATGAAAGTAGAAGATGAACATGTTTGTAAGTAGCCTTTATTCCCAGTTTCTCCCGAAAACAGAGCTGGCAGAGCAGGTGTTCAGTTTCCTATATTACAAACTGTAACCGACATAAACCATGACACAAAGGAGATAAATTTTGCGATGGGTTGTTTACATAGTGAAAGCATGCATTTGCTTCTCCTAGCTGTAGCAGATTATACCAATACTAACAAGAAATACATTTCAGATGTCGTTGAAGGAACCTTCTGGAACTAAATCATTCAGTTATTGTATCAGAGTGTTTTGATGAATAGCCCTAAAAATATGTACCAACACAAAATACCATCATGTAAGAAGAGGAAAAAAACTGAACTCCAAAAGTGAAGCCCCAAAGTCCCCCTTCTTTTGATTCGGTCTACACAGCAGTAATCCCTCACCTCAAGAGGAGTGGATAAATGAAGAACATTTCAGACACCTGTCCGTTGTTGTCACCTGGTCACCTAACTGTGGTTCTTCAATGGAGAACAACCAGACCTTTTTTGTTAAGTCCTCACAGGGGCCAGTAAAATGGCTGAGCAGATGAAAGATGACCTTAGTGCAATGCCCGGAACCCATGTAAAAAAAAAGCCAGATGTGTGTGCTGGTTCATGTCTACAATCCCAGCACTCCATAGGGAGATGGGAGGCAGAGATAGGGGATTGGCTAGAAGCTCAGGAGTGAGTATAGGAGCATGTGTGTGCGCACACACACACATTAAATAAATATCTTTTAAAAATGCATATAAAATCTGTTCCTCACCTTATCAATGTTGCTTTACTAATATGGTGAATATGTGCTTTGTTTTCGTCTGTCAGTCCATTTCTATATAACACGTACTATTCAGTGGTCGCCAAAGTATACTTTAGATAGCATGCTATTACTCAAGGGAAGAGGAAAGCATGCACTTGAACTGTCAACCATAAAAAGACAGTGCGTCTTTTCTTGGCCATCTTGTTAACAATGTATCGTCTTAATGCTGGGCCCTATGCGGAGCTCATGAGCATTCTTCAGCTTAACTGAGACGTTCTCTTGTACTTTGACACAAAAAAGGGGAGATGGACACTTGAGTACTAACTCTTGTGAAGCCCTCAGAACAGAAGTACTCTGTGAAGCCCTCAGAACAGAAGTACTCTGGCTTTAGGGTGATTTCTACCATGAGTTCAGATCAAGGCTGCCGTGACACAGTTGCCTCTTTTCTTTCCCACAGGTTGTCTGGGCACATTCCGAGTTGGCGCGTTCAGTACTGCGCGGCTGTCAGTGAATGCCGCCTACCCTGACCTCAGGAGCTGTGTCAATGGTGAGCTACTATTTAAAAACAAAATAAAACAAAATACAAGCCTCGGAAGTAAAATACACTGTGTCTATACAAACTAATATTTAAAATTTAGTAAGTGAATCCTTGAAGGAGGCTGTGCCAAGAAGTTATATTTTTTGAACTGCATATAGGAACATATTTTTTAGTTGTAAATGCATCTGTTTTACATAAAAAGAATTTTCCCCCTAACATTTCAGCTGAGGGGTGGTCATTGATAGTAGGCTTCAAGTTACTGCTGTCAGAATTTGGGCATCGATAATATAAATATGAAAATATGCATATCAAAACAACTTTCATTCGCTGAAGTCTATGCAGGCCCTACGGTAACCACCATGTGATTGTTGGACTCACTTCCTTTCATTTAGGTACCACATTTTCCTGCAACTCATTCTCCAGGATTTGAAAACCATTATTCCATGCATTTTTAATAAGAATTCTACTTATTTAAGGCAAGAAGATCCCTTTTAAAAACCCAAACTTAATCCAAGTCGGAATAGCCAATTCTATCATTGTCAAACAGAGAGTAGTTTGCTTGGCCAGTCCTCCTCATGGAATTGTTATAAGGCTCAAGTCAAGTGAGGTATTTGCCAATCTTGGTGGTGCACGACATTAATCCCAGCACATGGGAGGCAGAGTTCTCTGTGAGTTTGAGGCCAGCCTGGCCTACATAGTGAATTTCAGGACAGCCAGGGCTACAGAGTGAGGCCTGTCTCACTTTTTCGTCTCTTCCTTTCTTTTTTCTTTTTTTTTTTCAGTTAGTGTCTTATGTAGCCTAGTCGGGCCTTGAACTGGCTCTATAGCCAAAAGTGACCTTGAACTCGGGATCTCTCTCTCTCCACTTTCTGAATGCGGGAATTACAGGCATGAGCCACCCCATCAGGTGTATGCTGTGTTGGGGATCAAACTCGGGGCTTTGAGAGTTCTAGACAGCCACTCTACCAACTGAGCTACATCCCCAGACCTACTGTTTGAAAGAATGCATCTTAGCTTTCCTGGTTCGAGGCACGCAGTTGTACGTGTCCATTTCTGCTATTCCCTCTTCTTGCCTGAGGTAAAAATTAAATGGAGGTCTGTTTCCTTTAGCCATTCCAGACCAATGTGACCCTATGCCGTGTAATGAAGATGGGTATCTGAGCTGCAAAGATGGCCAAGCAGCTTTCACTTGCATCTGTAAACCAGGATGGCAAGGAGACAGGTGTCAGTTTGGTATGTATGAAAAATCCATGCTCGCCCCCCCACCCCCACCCCACCCCCCGGCTTTTCTGGGCTGGCCACAGGACACATTATCTGAAGATGGCATTTCTTCAAAAACACTTTATTTTTTCCCATTGTAGATGTGAATGAATGCAAAGATCCCTTCAATGTAAATGGAGGTTGCAGCCAGATATGCGACAACACTCCCGGAAGTTACCACTGCTCCTGCCGAAGTGGCTTTGCTATACTTTCAAATAAAAAAGACTGCAAAGGTAAGAGCACGGAAACAGAATAAAAATGTGTTCACTGTGTCAGGCCACAGTTTAGGTAGAGGGACTTCCTCGGGAAACTTCTGGAAAACACCGTGGGCAGAAAGTACTTCCCGGAAATGTGCCACCATGTCTTGGAGCCCTGCGATGCTGGCGGACTCCGTTTTAGTTTGCATTGGCGGTAGCAGGAGTGTTTTATTTTCTTTTCGTGTGCGCACATGCGCAAGTGCATATTTCAAGAATTTATTTAGTGGTAAGTAAGGGTAATTAAAGCGCTTCACTCGACAGAGAGCCTTCGGTGCTACACTCACTGCCCGTTTTCAGAATCAGCTACAGTCCCATCGTTCCGTAAGATGGACAGCGGTCACACAAGGAAATCTGCAACTCATAATAACAGCACTGTTATATTTATCTTTGCCTTTCATTAATAGCTTTCCGATTTTCAAAATAAACCCTTTATTTTGCACCCCATTTCCAATGGTGGTTTTGAGAAAGATGAAGAATCTCTATTTTTCATTCTCTTTACGCATTGACTAATGCACCACAGCTCTTAAGTATTTTTTCCTTAGGATTTAAATCATCTGTCAGGTTAGCTTTTCATATGTTGATAGTGTACTTCCCTTGGTTTTCTCTATGAGTCTTTGTCTCCCAATGTTTTCACTTTTTTCTCCTTGCACACGATGCTTCACTGGACTGCGTGACTTGCTGTAAGATACCTACAAATATTCCTGCTAGGTGAATGGAGAGCTAAAACCAGAATTCTGAGCCTGCAATGAAATCTTGCCACAAAGCAGAAACCCTTAAGAAGGATTTTGTTCTTCCTCCAAAGAGGTTAAAAAGTTCAGTAGGATAAGTGTGAAGTTTCCTTGTGAAAGCCTTTATAAGTCTTAGAAAATCCCCAGTCTGAATTCATATTTAGGGAATTTTCTGTCTGTTTGATAGTATTCAGTATTGTGTAGTCTAAAACAGTGCAGTTTAAAGTATCATGGAATGAAGCTGAAATGAAATGCATTTACTAACATTCTCTTCCTAGCCATTATCCAATTTATGACTGTATATCTTTCTTCTCTGTTTTTTTTTAAATGCTTTAGTTTGGCTCTTAGAATAGGGGCATCATTAGAACAGTAGTCATAGAAAGCCATTATAATTCAGGATACCACATACATTATATAAATAGATAGTTCCCATTCCTACTTCAACATTCAAATACTTGAGTAATCTATCCTTTTTCCCAATTTTGTGAAATTTTCATATCCACAGTGAATTAATACATGCATGTACAATTATAAAAAATAAGTATTTTTTTGCTGGGAATATAGTTCAGTGGTGGAGTGCTTGCTTAGCATGTGGAAGCCCCAGGTGTAGCTGAAGTTTTTTCTGGTCCTGCCCAGCCCCACGGACACCACAGCTGCTCAGACCCAAGTAAACACACAGGGGCTTATATTTTTTTAAAACTGTATGGCCTAATGGCTCAGGCTTCTTGCTAGCTAGATCTTACACTTAAATTAACCCATAATTCTTATTTATGTGTAGCCATGTGGCTTGGTACCTTTTCCCAGTTCTGCCTTCACATCTTGCTTCCTCTGTGTCTGGCTGGCGACTCCTGACTCTCCCTTCCTGTTCCCAGAATTCTCCTCTCTCCTTGTCCTGCCTATATTTCCTGCCTGACTACTGACCAATCACTGTTTTATTTATCAATCAAATCAGAGCAACACACATTCACAGCATACAGAAAGACATCCCCAGCACCCAGGCACATTTCTCAGTGGCACCAAACGACCTACAGAATGTTCCTGAAGACCAGAACATGTGTCTTTATTCTTTGTTTGCATAGTAATTTAGCTATAGTATACAGCAGAGCACAGAACTTACAGAGAAAATACATAGAAAACTATTACAGTAGGATCTTGGCCATAGTATGAATGAATCAACTTGGCCATTATTGACTAAATATGAAAGTCTAAAGCCTCACCTGGTGTTAGATGTGGATAGAGTCACCATGTCAGTGTGTTGTACCTAAATTCGTATGACCTATATAATTCCCTACAAATATGCCTAAAGCCAAGTAATTTAAGTAATGTGTTTTTATTTTCTTCTAAAAGTATGGATTTTCAAAAAGCTTCTTGACATTTACCTTTTTAAAATTAACTGAGGATTCATATTAAGTTGTAAGGAATATTAGAAATTTTAAGTATTATTTATGTTGTCCCTCATTACTAATAGTTACACAATTCTTGTATAATTTCCCTCTTAGAACACTGGCATTGACACACTTAGGGTGTAGAAACATTTCCTTACCACAGGGGGATTGATTCCATTATTTGAGAGCAAGTTATTTGAAACAGAGCAATGTCTAAGTTTCCACCTACTCATCTCCCCAGATAAACTGCCAGTTTTCAAAGTTGGGAATGCATTTCCCATTCATCTTTCTCCATTGATCTCCATGAAGAAAGATGAGTGATAATTGCATCGATGTAGAACTGTGTCTCCCTTGCTTCTGTTCCCTTGAAAATCCTACTTACCACCTCCTTGCAACCCATCTTTTGCTTCCTACTACACTATGTAATACAATAAGTACATCTGAAATGTCTGGAATATTAACCCAATACATAAAGATACTAGAATAAGTGCAGTTTTAGAAATACTTTTAGACTTTATTCAGTTCCACCTTAAATGCAAATCATTGTTGACTACTGTAGACAAGATGGGTAAAATATTAGATCTTTGTCTACTTCCAAATAAAAATATAAAACAAATGAGTTTTCATTTGTTAAATAATTGTCATAAGGAATTAAGTGAATCTACACTTACAACCAATTTCAGAAATATAAATTTAGAAGTGCAGTTACAGAATATTAAGAATACAGTTGAACCTCTTCTCTCATGTGTTTTTATACTTCTCCTTGGTATATAATAAAATGACTAAATCCCTTTCTTTTTCTTACATACCTACCTGTAAAGGAACATCAGTCAAATTTCCCATCAATTCATATAAAAATCATATTTAGGGAACTAAAGTATGGTGATAGATTTATTATTTTGCTGTTCCATGGCTATATATGATTCAGGAACCAAGTGTTCATTTGGTATTGGGAAAACATTAACATATTGATTTTATTTGTAGATATGGATGAGTGCTCTCTGAAGCCGAGTATTTGTGGCACAGCTGTGTGCAAGAACATTCCAGGAGACTTTGAATGTGAATGTCCTGATGGCTACAGATATAATCCTTCATCAAAGTCTTGTAAAGGTAGAATGATGATGCTACCATTGCTCGTGGTAGAGAGGGTGGGTTTGAACCCTGGGTTAATATTTGAAAAAAAATCTCTTTTGCTAATCTGTGATGTAGCTTGGTTGATTTGGTGACTGTTGCCTTCCTTACAGAATAGGAGTATCAAGTAAGACCCATGGTCTTTGGGTTTAATATTATTCATTCCATTTAACCCATTAAACTTCATAAAAACTAGAGACTCCCTTTGTTATAAAAGCAAAAAGAACACATTTTAATAGCCTCTAGACAACATTAAAAAATTTTTAATTTGAAAGGAAAAATTCATATAGACAAAGAAAAATGACCCAAGCTTTAATTGTGTGACTAAAACCAGGAGCCCCCTTATCAACCTTAGGTTTCATTACAAATATTTTTCTAGTCATTTTCTGTGCATGTATAGATGACTTTAAAATAGGAAATTGGGACTGAAGAGGTGGCTCAGCAGTTAGGAGCATTTATCAGCTCTTGCAGAGGATCCAGAATCAGTTCCCAGAGGCCATGTCATGTGGCTCACAACCACCTGTCACTCCAGTTCTAGGGGATCTGACACCCTCTGCTGGTCTCCTCTGACACCTGCACATACATGGTGCACATATATGCACTCAGGCACACACACACACACACACACACACACACACACACACACACACACACTAAAATAAAGGAAATAATAAAAAGAAAATGTGTAGTGTGATGTCGATTATCCTGACTGACATCATAATGGAGCTCCAGAAAGCTGAGGGTTACTGAGCTGTGATGCCAAGACTCCTTGTGGATCCTGTTTTCCCTTTGTAAGGTTGCCAAGGTGTCAGCATGGATGCCTCAGCTAGCTTCAATGCATTATGGCTGCTTTTGTCTTAGATTTCAAACCATCATATATGAATCATCTCACATACCCCTTTAAATGTTTTAAAATTTCAAACTGAATTAACATCATGTCTAACACTAATCGCATCAATAATAGAACATAGTGTTCATTGGGAATGGTTTTTAAACAGAAGCTCAGTGGCACAGCTCTGCAGCCTCCTCATCATAGTTGTCTGTTTTCAAAACCTTTTCATCACCCCAAATAGAAATTGTTAAGCAGAGAACAGCAAGTTCACTTAAGGGTTTCCTTTCTACAGACAATCCGTTACTATAATAAACCTTTCTGTCTTTGAATTCATATAAGTGGATAGTGATTTTATAATAGACTTTGTTGTAATTATTTATAGTGTGCTGTTGAAATGTTGATGTTTTACTTCACCCTATCCCCACACTCACCCACTTCTACTTTCCACTATCCCTCATTGCAATTATTAGGAAACCTAGAAATTCTCAGATTCAATGAAACAGAGATAAGCAGGGTCCTTGATTACAACAGAGATTTCCTAAGTTCAACTGGTCTCAACAAAGGAGTTGGAGCATTATTATAGTCATAGAACTTTGAGTCAGGTCTTTGTCTTGTTAATTCCACAGATGAAACTCATGGGCCACAGGGAATTTATGTTTTAGAAAGGTTCTTAGACAGGTGTTTAAGAGAATGCAAGCCAGCAGAGCTTCTGTGGGCCAGCGGCTGCCCCAGAAAGGTGCCATTAGGGTAGGACTTAAGACAGAAACTGTTGAGGAATGGGAGGTGAGCTGTCCATCCAGCCTCCTCCCTGCCTCCAACATCTATTTCAGGTGTCTGGAAGACTGGTCACACCCTCAGATGTAGCTTCTAGACAGCTGTGTAAAAAGAGAGGCAAGATAACAAAAAATCAGATGGAAACTAAAGCCCCCAAACACTATTGGCATTTGTTGCTTCCAGCAATGACAAAACCATGAACGTTTCCAGCCTCTGGCCAAGGATAAGAATGAAAGTCCTTGTTCCTAAACTGCGTGACTAGCCTCTGTTATGTGCTCTCATCATTATTATTAGCCATTTTCATCACCTAGATTGTAGTTTCATTTGCTAAAGGACAGGTTTTTAAATATGAGTCCATATATATCTTATTTTAATTCTATATCATACAATTTTAATGCATTTAAAGTATCATTAACTCTGGAAATGTATTTTAAAGTATTTAAAAGAGCATATATTACATGCTAATATTACTAAGAACTTCATAAATTTGTAATAGGGTGTATCCAATGAAATGTCAAGGACTTTCTGTAGCCCTGAAACAATCTTTAGCTTAGGCATGTTATTACAAAATGAGGAGTTGGACAGATCAGTTAAAAGACTTCAAATGATGGAACATAATGGCACAATAAGGTTAGAAAAAAAGAACATTAATATATGTCATTAAATTTATGGCTGCAAGTTCTTAATATCACCCATCATGATCATGACAAATTGTAGCTGGAGTTTTCCTGCCTGGCCCACAGTCAGGACAAATCTCTCTCACCCGCCAGTCCCAAGCCGCTCAAACCCGATCAAGTAAACACAGACACTTATATTGGTTACAAACTGTATGGCCGTGGCAGGCTTCTTGCTAACTGTTCTTACAGCTTAAATTAATCCATTTCTATTAATCTATACCTTGCCACGTGGCTTGTGGCTTACCGGTACTTTACATCTTCCTTGTCCTGATGGCGGCTGGCAGTGTCTCCCCCTCAGCCTTCCACTTCCCCGCTCTATTCTCCTCCTTGTCCCGCCTATACTTCCTGCCTAGCCAATGGCCAATCAGTGATTTATTTATTGACCAATCAGCAACACATTTGACATACAGACCATCCCACAGTAACAAATATTCATTATTCAACATTATTTACGGATGTACTCTACAGTGGAAACAAAATGATGAGTCAAATAGACACACTTTCTTCACTTAGAAATTTCAACTGGAGACACATGATAAAATCAACACAGATATTAACATGTATTATGATATTCAGTATGAATTGGTGACAGAGTAAAATACTCTAAATGTCAAAAGACATTAATGTGTTAAGAGATAAAGGACTTCTTTGAAAGAGGGAGAGGTAGGCGTTTTTTTCAAAACATCTCAGTGATGAAGAGATGTGAACATGGGAAAGTCTGGCTAATGAAACATGATCACCAGGGAGGAGGAGGAGGAAATAAGGATATGAGGCCATGTGTTGATCATACATAGAAGGACACTGAATCTGAAAGACCGAGGACACTGGCAAAGGTCATGAGCAGGAGCAGACAGCAGATGATTAGATCGATAATCCTGTCTAGATCAATAATCCTGTCTAGATATGTATGGTAGATACTTGTGTGGATCGGAATTACTACAAAGAAGCTGGAACTACAAAGGCTGATAGATTGGTTAAAACTGCAATGACTCTGAAGGGTTCTAATTGTTGGACGGTCAGAGTCTAATTACAATTTATCTTGGGCTATCTTAGTCCTCTAAATAGCTACTCCCTGCCCACCTCTGCATCAGGCTGTCAGACTAAACATCAGGTGACTAACAACAAATGCTAGTTTTCAACAAACAAAAGGCAGGCCATGGAGGACACCTCTAACCTCAGCATTAGGGAGGCAGATGCAGGTGAATCTCTGAGTTTGAGGCCAGCCTAGTCTACAAAGCAAATTCCAGGACAGCCAGGGCTACACAGAAATGACAGAGGAGACCCTAAATGCTTTTCTTCTCTAAGTTGAAAAACCATAAAATTAGTATAATTACCACACTTATTAACTATTGAAAACAATAAAAAATGTTTGGGATATATACATAAAGGAGCACTTAGAGCTCTTAAATTTCTAGGTCATGTGTTTAGATATGCTGTCATAGCAATTCCATTTTCTGAGTAACTAACTACTCCTGTGCCTATTGAATTGGACATTTAGTAGCTATGAAGCATTCTTCTCTTTTCACCTCAGATGTGGATGAATGCTCTGAGAACGTGTGTGCTCAACTGTGCGTCAATTACCCTGGAGGCTACTCGTGTTACTGCGATGGGAAGAAAGGATTCAAACTTGCCCAAGACCAGAAGAGTTGTGAGGTAAACCTTTTAAATCCAACCTTCTTACCAAGCTGGGCATGGTAGGACATGCCTTGTATCCCAGCACCAGGGAGGCAGAGGCAGGAGGATCTCTGAGGCTAGCCTGGTCTACAGAGTGAGTTCCAGAACAGCTAGGGCTATGCAGAGAAAGTAGAAGAAAAGAAAAATAAAACAAACAAACAAAAATCTTCTCCTTTCTGAAATGAGAGACCCAGGTGGTACCAGGATCCCTGCTCCCTGGTCTTTCAGTGAAGAGCATTAATCTTCACTGAAAGAATTCAGTTGAAATACAGAGCACACTGTGGAAGATAGGTGAATTTGTTGTAGAATAGGGAAACATACTCTCAGAGGGAGAGAGTTGTCAGTGGCCAGAGAAAACAGTGCAGAGTGGCTCTCAAGGGCTAAGAACAATGGCTAGACCGAACGTTGTGCCCATGTGCAGTTTAGTCGTCTCTCTTTTTTTAAAGACTTATAAAATCTTCAGAACAGACATCTCTCCCGAGTGCCATTTTCCTGTCCTGACAATTGGCAGGCCCATTCAATTGAATCTCACTTGACAGGGCAATGGTAGCCTTTGTTCTTTATCAGAAAGCCTCCAGCTAGGTAGTTATCCATTATGAAGTGTTGGGATCTTGGAACCACATTTAGATAGTTATCAAGTAATGACCCCTCTGCAATTCAGTGTGCGTGTCTCCTCCCAGTCTCAGAGGACCCACGTCTCATTTCTCTGACCAGTAATTAAAGCCTGGCAGTTGTAGTCTTTGGTTTTATAAGGGGCTGATTATGAAGAAGCATCTATCTCCAGGATATCCCCTAATCCCACTAAAAGAATATTTCATAGAAATTTTAGTGATAACATTTTCTGATGTCCTATATTACATTCTGGAAAGCTTGCCCAATGCCTTTTTTTGTGCTTATAAATGTTCATAAACAACTTGGTGGAAACAGATTTCTCACAAGAAGATCTCGTGACTTTAAATGCATCATAATTCAGAAGGCAATTATGTTCATCAGTATGTCTCAAAACACGCTTTTCAACACTCAGATTTAATGCATAATTGACCCAAGAAATCAGTTCATAGGATGGTTTTAATTTTTCCTTTATTGAGTAAATAAGTTAACATTTGACCGCCCCACCTTCCTCCATTTTTTTCTTTTAGAAATAATAAGTCATACATGCTAGTTACTCTTTCTATTCCTGCATTTTAAAACATGTAAGGGTCAAATTATATATGATTATGAGTCAGACTGCTTAAAATTCCTAAATAATGATTTCACTGTGTATAACTAATATATATATATATATATATATATATATATATATATATATACACACACACACACACACACACACACACACACACACACACACACACACATATGACCATGATGAATCAGTATATGCTTAAAAAAACAACAACAAAAAAATCACATTACCCACATGAAGAAAGATCAGGAGGTTAATGGGTATAAATAATAATTCTGGGGCTCCTCAGTTGAAAGGCCATGTAGTAGAATTTTTTATTTTATAGCTTAATCCCTTATTATTTCAGTATGTTCTGTAGTACATACTACTATCCACCTTGGAATGGTTATGAAAACTTTTTTCTGGGGCTCTATTTAGTAATTGCAGAATCCATTGCAAAATGTCCTTCACTGTCCCCCAAATCTCATCTCTAGGTAACTTTCTACTTTAATGTTGCTGTTCAGCTTTAAGGAACAAATACTTACTAAAAGATCACATGACTTTGAATCATTTTCATGTAAATTTCTTAGAGAATGAGAAGCTCACTTAGGTTTATCCCCTCCTGAGTTGCCAGCATTCTCTTGAGTATGCTGATAGCACATTTTTGCTCACCATACTTTTTTCTTAATAACCAAATGAATGACATGCAGATATAATTAATGCAAGGCATTGTACAGTTTATTGAAGACATATTTGCTGGGACTGGAAGGAAACGTTTGTGTTTAGCACTGAGGTTTGTGAAAGAAATAATAAATAATACAATAAAAAATGATAAATCTAAAGCCGTGCCCACGTATTTTTGGAGGCTTATGGATGGGTTTTACAGGGAAATGGAAGTTATTCATTATTGTTTGCAGAGCCATTATGATGGGAGGGTGTTTCACAGGCTGTTTGGGGAGCTACAGGGAGAAGACAAACTGCAGACAATAATCCATGCATTTGGTTTTCCTCCAGGGTATTCCAGTGTGCCTTTCCTTGAACCTCGACAAAAATTATGAATTATTATACTTGGCCGAGCAGTTTGCAGGCGTTGTCTTGTATCTGAAGTTTCGTTTGCCAGAAGTCACCAGGTGAGAGCCAATGTCAGTGGGAATTCTTGCAGGTTAAACAGAGGAGGAGAGAAGACAGACAGCTGTAGGTTTGTTATCAATCTGATAACTTAGGCATATTAGCATGTAGGTGATCCTCACACAGGTAATTTTTCACACTAGAGCCTTTTCAAGTCCACCAGGTTGACTTTGCCAATGCAGACTTACTTTATCCCACCCTTTCCCATTTTCCAGTGGTTGCATATTTCCCAAGAAGCTGGGAAGTTAGATCTAACTCACCTGTGAAAATGTAACTCCTTTTTTTATACATTATAAAAACTAAGTGAGAATATCAGTGTACTGATGGAATGTCGTTACATTCAAAACTAATAAGGAAAATTAAGAAGATGGCTCAAGAAGTATTCTAAAGAAATGCTTACTTAGTTTGGCAGTTTGAATACTCAGCTTTTGCTGCTGTAGTTAGACTGACTTTAGAGAAAGTGTTTGTGCTTCTCAACCATGATTCTCACTTGGCCAGTTTTCTCAGTGCACACATGTTGAAACTAGAAGCAATAAAAGAGAAGGGAAAATTATTTGAAGTTAAATTTAAAGCCTAACTTTCAAAATAATATTAATGAAATGATCATTCATGTTTAGAACTTAATTAAACACAGATCACTCACTAATCAATTGAACTGAATGTGTAGAAGTCTTATCATGAAAGAACATTGCAAGTTATTCTAAGATTGCCTTAAGTGAGTGTTTTACTTGGACATTCCATTTCCCTCGATATCTGGTTTTCACCACAAACATCTCTGAGCGAATATTATTTTCTTCTGAGTGAGACTGGAAACCCTTCTTTGCTATAACAGCAGTGAGGATGAGGGAGAAAACTGTTGCAATATATCTTTATTTGCTTTCACATTATTTATTTTTTTATGACAACTCATTCTAACTCGGTACCTAATATTGGATCAGAATTAGCAAACCAATTTCCCCAGTATTCCTTAGTTTCTTCATTGATTTATTTACTCTACACTTTCAGAAGTGTAATATCTTTTATACATTCCATATTAAGTGCACAGCTTGATGAATATTTATAAAGTGATTTCCTAAAGCAAACCTCTTCACCTCTGTTTCCCATAACCAACTGCTTCCCGTGCCCTGCCAAATGTTGACAAATTCTGTCTCTTTTCAACTCTCCAATACTTTTGAAACAGAATAAATTGATCCCCAATGTAATGAGTCAGGACGTGATGATGTATTCCAGAAAGAACATATGCAGAACACGACTCTTTGAAATACCATTTAGCATTATTTTACAAAGAAAAGGAAATTATCTCCATAATAGGATCAACTCCTGGAAGATCGTGACCAAACACAGATTTAGTTTTTGGCAAGATAGTTCATTCTTCGCATCAGCCAAATGCTCAGACAATTGTGAAGAAGGACATTAGTCCTTATGCCAAAGGAAATGGTTCCTTTTCTTTTCTTTCTTTCTTTCTTTCTTTTTAATATGAACAGGTCCCTGCATTCATATTATAGTGTTATCCATCCAATGCAGTTCACTCCACATTTTATCTCTTTCAAATACTTACTTGGGAATTCAAAATACAGGAATATTTATTTATTCTGCCTCTTTTTCTTGGTTCCCTTTGAGGAAGGTCTGTCTCCGTTACAAATCCTGCCTTTGTGACTATTAATATGTGATGATGGGATATCTATATTGGATTCTTTGTTGACTTATTAGCAACAATCAGAAGTCCTGACTCTTTAACTCAAATTCTTTTAGTTTCATGATAAATATTTATAAAACTGATTTTCCTATTTGTCTTTGTTTTAAAAACATTTTTGTTAGCTGGTGCCTTGAGGAACTTCACTCATTAGTGGTTCCCACTAATACATTCTGAGGGCAGGCACTCAGTCAACACGCAGCACCCATAAGATTTTCCATCCTGTACTAGTTATACTGTACACATGCCCAGAGTCTTGATAACACCAAGCATGATCAGAGTGCACTCTCTCCCAATGACTAGCTCGACTATATTGTTAAGCTTAATTCACCTACTTCAGTGATTTATGCTATCACAGTGTTTGGAAAGCTTTTCTCTTCTTCTTTCTCCCTTTCTCTCTTTTTCCATTTCCCCTTTCCCCCCTCCTTGAATTCCTTCCTTTCTTTTCTGTAAAACTTTTTAATGCACTTGAAAGGAAGGGTCTCCAACCTTCCTGGCGGCCTTTTTCCTTACAGTAGCTAAGCCCTTACTCAGCTCTTCTAGCTTTGTTTTGGCACTACTGTGTGTTCCTACCCTCTTCCTGATGAATTCGGGACATTTTTGTCTATGGAGCTCTTGAGTGACACAGTAGCATAGTTCGTACAACCAAAGGCACACACCACTCCAAACATGTCTCACACGGATGTGGTGTGTTATGTGAAGTGTTCATGGCAGCTGCCGTGGTGCTGCATGGTCATAATTTTTGGTCAGATCTTATGGCTCACAATCCTGTCCTTAGGTAAGGCAGAGCCATGCTGCTTCTTTTTAATGATTACATGAAAGTTTACTTATAATTTTAATCATCTAAAAGTTACCTTGTGGTGCCCTGTAAGCGATCCTTTCCTGGCATATGTGAAATCAGAGGGAGCATATGCCTTTTCTAGATAAATCAAACATGCCATTGTAACATCTTTTACTAATCACTCATGGATTCAGCAAACACACACACACACACACACACCCCTGACTCTTACATTTAGAGTATATAAAAGGTTCCAGGAAACCCAACACCTGTACACGTGCATTAATTTTAGTGTTTTGCCTTCAAAACACTACCATAAATAAAAAAAATTACCAAAGTATTGAGAAAAAAGACTCCAAGAATAATCAAGAAATTATAATAACCACATTTTGAAATACATATGGAACTATCGACAATTGGTGAACAATTTAATGCTGCACTCTTAAATCTGTTTTTAAAAGTCTTCTTTTTAAATCTCAGGAATTTTTTTCTCTTTCAGTATAGTACTGTTTGCCAGGACAAGTGTGTGTGTTGGGGGATACAGTGAACCTTCCGAGTTCCTCACAAGAAGAATGTCTCTTTGTTTAGATTTTCAGCTGAATTTGATTTTCGGACATATGATTCAGAAGGCATCATATTGTATGCAGAATCTCTTGATCACTCAAATTGGCTCCTGATTGCACTTCGTGATGGGAAGATTGAAGTCCAGTTTAAGAATGAGTTTTCAACCCAAATCACAACTGGAGGCAATGCTATTAACAATGGTATATGGAATATGGTATGTTTGGAATTTCAGAATTATTTTTTTACTTTGATGTACTTTCTGTAAAATTATAATCTGATTGTCAAACCAAATTATGTTGGGTTTCCCAATGTTACATGAAGTGCATTCTACACATTGTTAGTCCTAGGAGCAACTTGAAAAATTATTCTAGTTACTTTTGAACTACTCTGTTTTTGAATTTTCACTCTTTTTAGTAGCTGTTTTTTAAGTGAGTATTGGATCTCCCTGACAGGTCAAGATTCATTAGCAGGCATAAGTTAATGTGAAGATTTCCCTGATCAAAGAAAATCATCCTTAGTTGTCATGAGTTTTTTTTTTGTTTGTTTTTGTTCTCTTTCTTTCTTTCTTTCTTTCTTTCTTTCTTTCTTTCTTTCTTTCTTTCTTTCTTTCTTTTTTTTTTTTCCCTGAGATGGGGTTTTACTGTGCAGCCAGAGATCTGACTGCCTCTGCCTCCCGAGTGCTGGCAAAGGTATATGCCACCAATGCCCAGAAAGTATTTTTTTTTAATTAGAGAAATGCATACTGTAACAACAACAAAAAGTTAATTCTATTTTAAATGTAAGTATATAGATAAGTAGCCAGTTCTGAACAAATAAATAGCATACACTTAGCATTCAGCAACCAGAGTACTTTAACATTTTCATATAATAGTATAAATTTATTTCTATTATTAATTACAGTCATCTTTTTAATCAGTTCAGTTAAAACCGAAACTTTGCTTGAAAAAAAGATTACCCCTTGTTGATAGTGGGGAGAAGTGTGGGAAAGCCTCAGCATTCCGCAGCTATTTCAAGAGTCTGCACCTGCCGGGCGGCGGTGGCACACACCTTTAATCCTAGCACTGGGAGGCAGAGTCAGGAGGATCTCTCTGAGTTTGAGGCCAGCCTGGTCTACAAAGTGAGTTCCAGGAAAGGCACAAAGCTACACAGAGAAATCCTGTCTCAAAAAAAACAAAACAGAAAAAAAAAATAAGGAGTCTGCACCTTAGAATGTGGGGCTCTTTGAGGTCGGAGAGTAAGATGACAGGAGGCAGCTTCAGTTACGTGTTTAGATTCAGTATTTATGATCGTTGTTAAACTAGTATTTAGTGACATGTCCATGTTCTAATTTAAATCACCCTTTATAAGATTTATATAATGTGTGTGAGTATAAGCACACCTGTGTGCATGTGCTTGGTCTGAGGCCTGGTGCCTTCCTCTTGCTTTCCACCTTACTTTTTGAGGTGGGGTCTCTCACCTGAAGCTCACTGATTTGGCAAGACTAACTGGTCAGCAAATTCCGGGCATCTGTCTGTGTCTCCAACAGTGTGATTACTGGTGTACGTCATCATCAATGGCTCTGTGTTAGGGATACAAACTCAGGTCCTCATACTTGTGTGTCATTTTAATTGACAAGTATTCATTTAAATTAGTCTATAAACTGAACATTTTTTTGATAGTAACTGATTCCTTAATTTTAAATTATTTTAAATTTTCAAAATATAATTTAAAATGAGAAGAAATTAAATATAAAACACACGATCCAGAATTGTTTTATAATTCGTAAGAACTACGTAGGCCATGCAGTGATTAAACAATCCTGGCTCAAAGTCAAGGAAATAATGCTACTTTGAAAGTGATTTTGTCACCGGGTGGTGGTGGAGCATGCCTTTAATCTCAGCACTTGGGAGGCAGAGGCAGGTGGATCTCTGTGAGTTCAAGGCTAGCCTGGGCTACAGAGCGAGTTCTAGGAAGGGCGCTAAAGCTACACAGAGAAACCTTGTCTCAAAAAACAAACAAACAAAACCAAAAGAAAACAAAACCAAAAAAAAACCCCAAGTGATTTTGTCACTTATTTTATATGATCCCGGTACTGGCATTGTAACTCATTCAACAGATATTTATTGAGGCCTACACTTGCTAATCTTTATTCTACCAGGTAAGGCTACAATGATGAATGAAGCGGTCATTGGTCATGTGAAGCTTGCATTCTAACACTGAGTGGCAAGCAGCAGATCAATTATGTTAGGTGCTCACTGATGCTAGGAAAGCAAAGGAAAGCGAGGCAAGGCGTGACACGTAGTGTGCGTACAGTCAGTGAGCGTGTGGAATTGAAGAGGCGAACCAGACAAGACTACATCTGAGTAGAGGCTTGAGAGACCAGCTCATGAAAAATGTGTGTGTCGGGGGGATTATAAAGTGATTCTATGCAATGTGAACCGCAAGTTCCAAGTCTCACGGGGAGGATGTGTTTGGTGTGTTTGACAAACAGCACAAAGATGAGTGTAGATGCTTTGGAATGGGGGAGAAGAATAGATAAAAATGAAGTCAGCACCGAGGTCTAGATAAAGATCTTTGGGGACCACAGTGAAGACTGGATTTTATGCATTGTGGGAAGTCCCTGGATAGTTTTGAGAAGTGACAGAATGTAACTTACATTTTAAAGAATAGTTCTGATCAAAATCTGATGGCTTTTTGGAAACCATTTGATAGAGAGTAGGGCCCCTGTTGAGAGACCATTGTAGTAACCCAGAGCAGGGTTGGCTGTAGCTTGGTTGGAGAGCTCATATCAGGGTGTGGAAAAGTGGACACATTCATGGGACACTTTTTATGGTAAGTCTTAGTTCAAACTTACGTTAATGATTTTTTTAAATTGGTATTCACTTTAGTAACATGAATCCACAGATACAAGCAGTGTATAACCAGAGTTACAAGTGAGCCAGGCTTATGCATGTGAGTTTCTGCTTAGAGGGGTCTCATGTGCAGGTACATGGATTAGAAGCATGTGTCTTGAATTATGGCCAAAGTGTTCTTAAAACACAGAAATGTAAAATTACATCTTGAACATATAGAAGTGGTTTACACACTTCAAAAATCAAATGTTGCTCAGATCAGAGAAGCATGACAGCTAAAGGAATCAAGTGACTTGTAATTTGTTCCCAAGAAATCGATACTGGTCAAAGAGAATGGGAATACGTGTGCATTTTACTGTGTTTACATGCTGTTGTTTGCCTTCTGTTATTGATTAGTAAGCCTTTGCGGCATGAGTGTGGCAGTCTTGTGGGAGGCAATTGTAGCAGCCATCTTCTGATTGTGTTGGATGTCTTTTTATTCATGCTTACTGTCATTTCAAACCATTTTTTAAAACCAAAATTACTTTCAAAATTCTTCATTTTGAGCATTCAGTTTTTAAGAACTAATTTCAGACTTTGAAAAAAATACAGTTTGTATATGCTGCACAGAATGCTGGGCATTACTGATTTTTTTGTAACTAATATTATAAACTTACTATTTTATTGATTCTGGATGCATAATGCATTGGTTGAAAAAATAAGAGATCTTAAAATTTTCTTCAAGTAAAAAAGCTCAACTTTTTTTTGAAACTTTATTTTATGGCATTGTGGTTTGACAGAAAGTGGCCCCCAAAGGGAATGGCGTGCTATTAGGAGGTGTGGCCTTGTTGGAGGAAGTGTGGTACTGTGAGGGCAGGCTTTGATGTCTCTTTTGCTAAATCTTTGCTCAGTGTGACATACAGTCCACTTCCTGTTGCTTTCTGATCAAAATGTAGCAAGCACCATGTCTGCCTACCACGATGACAATGGACTAAACCTCTGAACTGTAAGCCTGAATGTTTTTCTTTCTTTCTTTCTTTTTTTTTTTCAAGACAGGGTTTCTCTGTGTAGCTTTGCGCCTTTCCTGGATCTCACGCTGTAGACCAGGCTGGCCTCAAACTCACAGAGATCTGCCTGCCTCTGCCTCCCGAGTGCTGGGATTAAAGGCGTGCGCCACCACCGCCCAGCTGAATGTTTTTCTTTATAAGAGCTGCCACGGTCATGGTGTCTCTTCACAGCAATAGAAATCCTAGCTAAGACATAAAGGGATCAAAGGTATAGATTATAACTGAATGTTAAAATGTTAGTGTTTTTAAACTTTAAAATAAGATGTACTGTTGAGATCAAGTTCTATCACCTTAAACTTTGATCAGAAATTAAAGTTTTTATTATATTGATCGGTATAGAAAATTATTTAATGGGATAATATGATTTTTCAGTCAACTATCTCAAGTAGCCATGCAGTGATGTTTGCCCTGTGTTTTTAATTGTAGGTGTCTGTGGAAGAATTAGATGACAGTGTCAGCATTAAAATAGCTAAAGAAGCCGTGATGAATATAAATAAACTTGGGAGCCTTTTTAAACCTACAGATGGATTTCTGGATACCAAAATATACTTTGCAGGATTACCTCGGAAAGTGGAAAGTGCACTCATTAAACCGGTAATGACGTAGCTTATGCTGTTCATCTTGAGTGAATTCCTTTATCTGTCATAGGTTTAAAGATGTGCTTTCATGATACTCCATAGAAGTAATTTTGCTAAACATGCCAAGTGTGACAATTTGTATTGAACATGGGAAAAGAACTTTAGACCACTGAAATTATAGTAAGGAAATAAGAAAATGACTGTTGTGGTTTTGTGTCCGTTTAAATTACAGCATTATTCATTTAGCAGTGGGTTTGTTAAATTCTCAAGTTGTCAGCTCAGTGTTTACATTGTAATATTCTACACTCAGCCATTAAATGTGCAAAAACACACATCTAATCCCAAAATCATATGTATTTTGTAGAAGCCAAAATCTTTCAAAGCTTTATTTTAAGACATAAATTTGGAGGTTAAGGGTAACAAAGATGGTGGATGGAACAGATTATAAAAATTGTTAGTTACAACAGATGAATACAATATTCTGAGTACAATGCTTATCAAATAACCACTGAATAGAGTTGAAGAAATCAATTACTGTCTTTGAAGAGTTTACAAAATGTCATTTAACCAGCACTCAGAGGTAGAGGCAGGTGGGTCTCTGAGTTTGAGGCCAGACTGATCTACATGGCAAGTTCCAGAAAGGCCAGGGCTGTACAGAGAAACCCTGTCTTGAAAAACAAAACAAAAAAGCAAGAAAGAAAGGAAGGAATAAAGTCACCTGAATTCATGACCCTGCCAGATGATCTGGTTGCTTTAATTGTTGATCTAACTTAAATATTAACTACTTCATATCTATCTGCCCTTCTCTTATCACAGCTCAGTTATTTTAACTTTTAATAGATTTCTATGTGATAATAATTTGGATTAGTTAATCCATTAGTTAATCCAAAACAAATATTCAAAATTTTTGAAATTGATGAATTACGGTACTTAATGGGAAAGTAAATCATTCAAGAAGAATCAATCGTTTATAAAATAGCTACCATGCCTCTTGAAGCTGGCTGGATGCTTTGGTGAGGCTGAAAAAATGCAAGCCTCTTGTTCTTGAGGAGGAGTAGCATCTGCATTGGCAAATAAACCTATATTGTAAATGCACACCAAGAATGATAGCAGCTTAGAGCCTGGGGCCACCTGAGAAGCATAGAGAGGATTTACCTCTGAATCTGGATGATATGAAAGAAGCAGGGGGGACCTCAGGTTGTAGATATCATCAGGACCCCACTGGAGGCCTTCAATGGTATGGTCTCATTTTATTGAAAAGTATTATCTATCAGAAAGAAAAAAAATAGATCTAATTAAAAGTATTTTAATAAGCTATCAATGAAAGGTTTTCCATCCAAATGTAACCTATACTGGGAATCAATTAAAGCTATTTATCTTTCCTACGTAAGTTTAAAATGTACTCCTTGATTTATATCTTATTGTGCTAGATTAATCCTCGTCTGGATGGGTGTATACGAGGCTGGAATTTGATGAAACAAGGAGCTTTAGGTGCAAAGGAAATTATTCAAGGAAAACAAAATAAGCATTGCTTCCTCACAGTAGAGAAGGGCTCTTACTACCCTGGTTCTGGAATTGCTCAGTTCAGCGTAGATTACAGTAAGTGATTCCTGTTATGTTTCTCTTTTCTCCTTAATCATTAAATGCATCCACTGACAAACTGCAATGCTTTATTCTGTTAGCATCACCGAGTGAGTAACTGTTATGACAGGCATTGTCTTATTTGTTCGGTTAAATACTTAACAAAGTTTTCAGGAATTTTAGGAAAACATGTCTAGACTGGTAAGTCTGCTTATTATTGTTAATGTTTACTGGCATATGGCCTGGTTCATTGGGGGTAGATTCCTTGATCAGTTATAAAGTTCACGGCTTTTGCAGTCTGTTTGAGTACACCAATCAACACACAGAAGGGACTGGTTTTGATTTCTATCATTCACTTCTGTTGATCTGTGTTAAGATTTCTGTCTTTCCTGAGGTTGCCTATGCATTTACAAAATATATAATGCCTATGTATGCTGTATAGCTCAAACCAAGCCTTCAGCATACTCGTTATAAACTAATTTTAAGTTGCAGCATGTGTTCATGTGAGCTTGGTCATATTGTTTCTTTACTGTATGTTGTTTTCTCATGTGTCTTAGTATGTTCTGTAATGCTTGGTTTAGAGGTGGGTATTTTACATGCAGTAGTAGAGACTGAAGTGAATACTACTTGTGTCTGGAAATGAGTACACTTGTCCTTGGCTCAGCCCTTATTGACATGGATATGAAGGGGGAGACCGCTCAATTTAGTGAGGATTTGAGACATTTATTGAATTAGTACTTGAGGAGTGGGTTTTATAAAGAGGAGACCTTTTGTGAAGGACCTTGTTCCCTGGATTCATGTCCCCTCCTGAGATCATTTCCTCTGTACTGGGTCCACCATTTACCCTAAGCCTCACAAGAGTTGCCATCATGCTATTTAGATTTCTACCTTCTACCTTGAGCCAAATAAATTGCTTGTTAAAATACATCACTTAGCTTCACAGACTATTTTTTAATACCTTTGGAAAATGTGCCAGTCCAATTCAGGTTTCTGTTTGATTAGAGGCTGATTTACTAGAAGTTTAGGTTCTTTTTTGTTTGTTTGTTTTTTAGTTTTTATTAGTTTTCTTTTTTTAAATTTTTTTGTGAGTAGAAATTCTTATCAGATTGGGTTCACAGTGAAGTCTGAGTGCACCTTTACAAATAACCTGCTGTGAATATCCCTGAGTGTCCATCCTGCACTTTTGTATAGTTAAGTGTGTGTATGAGAGAATTTCAGAATTAGATTTCCTCCATCAAAAATCCTGCAGATATATATTTAGTATAGGACTGATTCCATTCTCTTCTAAAGATTATTAATTGCTACTCTTACTAAAAGCAGAAAGTTCATGCTCAAGATAGTTTTCTAATCCAATAGATCCAATTAAAATATTACAGTTTTAAATATAATTTTCCTAGTTTCTACTTAAATTGAACACCTTTCCATAGATCAGTGGTGATGACATGTTGCCTAAGCAGGTTCTCGGGTCCAGCAACAGTAGCCAGGAGTCTGGACCTGAGGGGTACAGGCACTGCTTTTTCATCAGGGTATCTCCTTGGGTTAGATAGGAGATGCAGTTATGACTATCAGTGAGCCAGGTAGCAACCCTTGGAACAAAGAAATAGGTGTTTTGTGTATTGATAAAGGAAAGATTCTTATCTGTTGTCCATGTTCAGGTCCTTGTGTGCAAATTAGGAATTCGAAGTTAAATAGAATATCTGGGCCTGACTGGCCAACGTTCATTCTCCGTGGTGGGCAGATCATTGATCAACTTTAAATTAGGATAAGGCAGGTGCTCAGGATGCTGACCCTGTTAGCCACTGACCAGCTGAGATCTTTCCTCTCCCTGCATGGAAATCAAGGGTGGGCAATGAAAAGTTCCTCAAGTCCTGATCCTTGGCAGCTTTACATTCTTTGGCATTTGACAGGAGTAAATGGTGGCAGTGGGAAGGCTGCAGGAGCAGCAGAAGGTAGCCCCCTTTAGTGTTCCATCTCTTCTGTAGGCTTTAAGAATTGGGACCCGTAGTTCTGTAATCTCAGTCCAGGAAGTTGAAATTCCACGACATGTAGCAGCAGCAGCAGCTGATGTTATAGTTCCTGGCTCTGGGGTATCTGAGACCCCTTAGCCCTAAACACTTGAGAGCTTTTATAACTCCTCCAGTCACCGTGGCCTGCAGGGCCTCTTCTCTGGCTCTTTACTGCTTTCTAACCTTCCTCCTCACTTCTCCACCCTCTCTCTTCTCCCAGTGCCTGTTCCTGCCCTGGCTTACTCTCTACCTGTTCAGCTGCTGCTGCTCCAGCTGTGGAGCAGCTGGTCGCCTTGCTGCTTTGCCACCTGAAGCCTGCTGGCAACTCTTCTGCTTTGCCTATTGCCATTGTAGTGCCCCCGCCTCTCTACTTGGCTGCCTTGATGGTGTTCGTACTGCGACTTTATTCATATTACCAGCTCAGCCCGCGCTGGCCAAAGTAGGCAAGAGGAGAACACTTCAGAGATGCCTTTTGTTAGTCCTGCTGTTTCAAACACCGGGGGAAGTGGCTCGGTGAGCCAAATAGCCTGCTTTTATAGCCACAGTAGGAGCCTTCCCACCAGCCACAGAGTTGTCTCTTTAGTGCTGGCCTTAGAAGAAGATCCTCCGCTAGGCTACCAGGGTCAGTGCCCCTGCTCTGGTCTCAGTGGAAATCATGACAGGGTCATCCAGAGTTCAGTGCGGACTGTGATAGCCAGACAGCCTTGGCTGAGAGGCTAGACCTTCCAGAGCTGAGCAATTAGCTTCCATTGTGTAATTATCCTAAAGTGTCTATGGAGTGTTTTAAATGGCTGGTGCTGGCTTAAGGTTTGTCTGGCTGGCTACCGAAGTGACAGACCTTTTGTTCAAAGCAGGAAGGGCAATAAAGGAGAGCTCACCAGTTTCCAACTATCGGTCAAATTTCCCATCCTCCAATATCTTTCTTATTTACATACAGGGAAATGAACATCAGAAGGAGTCTTTCCAATAAGAACTCAAATTACTTTTAATGTTAATCATGATTTTAATTGAGTCTTCTTGGTATTAGCCTTGTACCCTGTCAGACAAACTATATTCCAAGTCCACGTTGAATAGTGCTTTGACCTCACTGATGCCCCAAGGGCAGGTAAGCGCTTCCTCTGTGTCATCCCTGGCTCATCTGCGTGAGCAGGACATGCTTGCAGCTGTCATAATTGTAACCATGGGACTGTCGTGAGCTCTGGCTTCCAGCTCATGTCCTTCTTTGGCTTTACAGTAAAAAAGCAAAACAGCAGTGATCCCTGGAGGGCCCCTTCCCAGAACTCAATTTGTTAAAGGAAATTTTCCAGAAAAAAGGAATTAAAATAAGTTATATTGTAGCTAAAAAAAAATTACTTTCTTATTTTGTGGATAATTTAAAAATGACTTACTTCATAATTAATATTTAATATTATAACTTCCACACATTTTAATATTCATTTTAGTATGAGTTTAATATCCTTTGCTTAATTTATTTCACAATAATTCCATATATTCTTTCTGTATAAGAGTTATAATGAGAAGTGTAGTCTCATTATATGCAGCTAAATAGTAGAACATCTAGCTTAAAAAAAAAAAACCATTTCTTCATTCATTTTTACCCTTTCAAAGACTCCAGGTGGTATATGTAATTTGCTACATATTACTTCATAATAAATGAAGAACACTTCATTTATATTATAAACCAATTTTTAAAAGTACTTGAGGTTAAGTAATTTGTGACTGTTAACTATGTTCTGAAAACTGTGTCTTCTGTTTTGGTTGCGTTTCCAAAAGCAACTTAGAGGAGGAAGGGATTTATTTCAGCTTACAGTGCCAGATTGTACTGGGGAAGTTACAGTGGCAGGGACTTGAAATAGCTAGTCACAGCCATATTCAATACTAGAAAGAAAAGATTGTATGCATGTCACTTGTTTGTTTGTTTATGCTCAGCTCAGTTTTTCCACTTAGGACCAGCTCAGCTTAGGACCATCTGCCTAGGGAATGCTGCCACCTGTAGTGGGCTGGGTCTTTCTGCATCAATTAACTAATTAGGACAACCCTCCACAGACATGCCCACAGGCCAGTTCAATGTAGATAACCCCTAATTAAGAATTTTCTCCCAGTTAATTCTAGGTTATGTCAAGTTGATGATTAAAGCTAACTATCACCGTGCCAATTCCATCATTTGGTGAACATCACAGAATAGACTTAAATTAAGTAAGCCAACCATAACATCACTAGGAGATGTCATCTTAGGAGAACATTGTCATATATGTCTCCATCGTTGACCTGACTATAATTATGGGTGCATGACTACTTTGAAAATATAAACTCAGTGAATATTTATTGTCTGCTATGAAAAATAACATGATGATAGAGACACATACCTCCTATTGCCTGCAGTCCACTTTGGTAGATAACTAGCTTAATGATTTAAAAGATGGGAAGTATTCAAACAAGACTATTACAGAGCAAAAGTCCTGAGCCTAATTTAAAAATTAACTGTAGACTTCACCATTTTTCTCTGCTACCAGACTATTTAGCTCTCCCTGAATATAGAACATGTTTTCCCTTCCCATTGATGTAGAATGAGTAATGATGGGGGATTGATGGCTTCTGTATCAATGTTTTATATCAGGAAGAATACAGTAAATCTGTTGAACTTTCTTCTAAATGTGTACTGTAAGGTACTGTAAGGTCTGAACACTCTGAGGTCTGAACATCGGTGAATTTTCATGAGAGGAATATATTAAAGAGAAACAGGGCAAGTTTGGGGAGCTCCTTAATATTACAGCCCAGAATTTTTCTCTTGGAAGAATGGAAATGTAGAGACTCCACTTGCATTTAAAAATAAAGTAGCCCTGTTCTGTATTGCTGCAGTGATCTGCATCTTTGAGAAAAAAACTAAGACTTTAGTGCTTCACAAAGTATCTTTGAATGTTAATCAGATTATAATAATTGATGATTATGATTTTCTCTATTGTAATTATGATTGCTTTGTGTCACACTTTATAATTTTAAGTAGATAATGTAACCAATGCAGAGGGATGGCAAATGAATGTGACCTTGAATATTCGTCCATCCACCGGCACTGGAGTTATGTTTGCCTTGGTTTCTGGAGACACGGTCCCCTTTGCCTTGTCCTTGGTGGGCTCCAGCTCAGAAAATTCTCAGGTAACCTTATTCCCAAACTAGATGAAGCTCCCTCTCTCTTTTGTTCGTCTCCTTTTTCCTGACTTGTTGGCTGATTTCCAAGGTCTGGAAGGAGAAGATAATGGGGTACTGAGAAACCTTTGCATCTGGAGCTATGGTTTGGTAGACTCAAGCACAGGCTGCCATGGATATATGACTCACGTATAGGTTGCCTTGGACATAAGACTCACACACAGGCTGCTTGGAGACATCACAGAGTGCATAGAAATCTACCCATATTCAGAATCGGAAGTATTTATTATGGGAACTTGTAGATGTAATTCAGTGTAGATATCAGACAAGAACACAGAGCCGATTCAGAGAAGAAATCCAAGAGGTCAGAGCCAAGAGCCTCACCCTTCCTGATTCAGGGATCCTCCTCAGCCCAGAGAGCTCTCCGAAAAGGAGCCCTACTTCCTGTGTCTGTCTCGCTAGTCTCCTTGTTCTGGCTTCTGATTGGTTGTAAACCCAATCATGTGACTGCCTCGTCACTGCCTGTATGTACTGCCCTCCAGGTCCTTAAAGGCGTACGCCACCACTGCCACCCACTTGCTATGGCTCTAATAGCTCTGACCCCAGGCAACTTTATTTATACCACCACAGGAACTTCTCTGTATACAAAATAGGGTGTCATAACAATCCACTCTCAGTTCTTTGGTATACAGTTGTAATTGTTGGTTCTCTCTTGAACTTTAATCTTTCACCCCATGAGTACATCAAGAAAAGAGGAGAAAACTGAAACTGTTCCCCTTGGTTTCTTTCTGCTGACTCCCAATTTGGAATGAAGAAGAACAGGAAAGTCTTTGATAGAAAGAAACACCAACTTTACCGGGAGACCCATGCTATTCCAATTTCTCATAGTGCTAATAGCTAATACCTGCTCCCAGGTCATGTACTGACATTCCAGCAAGGTTTTGCCAATAGCTTATTTATGCCAAGATTGGAATTTTTGTTTGCACCGTCATAAACAAAAAGGCGGAATTCATCTTGCAAATTAGAATGTAATTTGAAGGGAGTGTCTGTTGAGTAACAACCCTCCCCGCCCCCAAATTCCCCATCTCCTTGTGTAGTCCTGGCTGTCCTGGAACTCACTGTGTAGACCAGGCTGGTCACAAACTCACAGAAATCCACTTGCTTCTCCTTCCCAATTGCTGGGATTAAGGGAATGTACCAACATGCCTGATTTGGCCTGAATTAAGGATGTGAATATTTATGAAGTTAAAGATTCCCTCAAGTAATCCAGAGTTGGGAAGTATAGACTTTCCACTCACCGTACGTATCTTAGCCTGAGAGGCAATTTCAGATTACATTTACTATCTGACAAGCATCATAACCTCTCTCTCCCTTTGGGTTTTATCTTCTCTTACTTTTTATATTTCCTCTTTACCATCTATAAGTTAGCAGCAGAGGTCACCCTCAACAAGTTGATTGCTTTGAAAATTCCAGCAGAATAAAACACTGCTTTTTTGGAGACTCTTCAGCTACCTTATTGTTCACAATGCCTGGTATCTTTCTCAGACCTCTTTACCCACACTGTTCTTGGGCTATATGATTACTTGGATGGCACAGACAAGCTTTGCTGCTTTGCTGCTTACTAAAGGTCTCTGAATTTTCCCCAACACAAAGCGCACTCTTCCTTTTCCATGCGTAACTTTTGAAATTAGGAAGACTTGTAAACTTAAGTATTACTGAGGAACTGAGTATACCATGGAAGTTTCTTTTATTTGGTGATACAGTTCAGCTGATTTAACTGAATCTTTAGAAGTTGGTATACATTCACATTTTAATTAAACCTGGAGCTTGTATAACTTGTATGTTTGTAGAGCTTGTATGTTGGAAAATTCATTGTTAAAATTAAGTAAACAATTTTACATTTTAGCATAAAGGCCCTATCGTTTTTTTTTTTTTCCTTTGTTGACATTTAGTTTTTGAATTTCAACACAAAGCCATTCTTCAGTGGCTTCACCCCCGTGCTTGTTTATATGAAGTTTTTGTTCTGCTTTTTAGGATATAATGGTATTTGTTGAAAATTCAGTGGTGGCTCGAATAGATGCCGTAACTCTGTGCTCTGACCAGCAATCCCAACTGAAATGTAATGTTAACAGAAATGGCCTGGAACTGTGGACCCCACTTAGGAAAGATGTCATCTACTCTGAAGATCTCCAAGGGCAACTTGCTGTCTTGGACAAAGCAATGAAAGGAACCGTGGCCACTTACCTAGGTGGCCTTCCAGGTATTTCCTTACCTTTTTCTTCAGTTCTAAAAACATGTTTTAAATCAAATATCTTTTGGGGTTTTTTTGTTTGTTTGTATTGAGATAGAGTCTCTTTACATAGGTCTGGCTGTTCTGGAATTCACTATGTATGTAGACCAGGCTGGCCTTGAGCTAAAAGATCCACTTACCCCTGCCTCCTGGGTGCATGCACTATCATGCCTGGCCAAATTGATAGTATCTTAAATATAGAATTTTAGTAACACAGCATTTAAAGAAGACAAAATTTCCAATATCCTTTACACTTGTTTTGGAGGTTTATACCAGCATTTTATTGGTGTGTGTATTTGCAATGGTCAAGTAAGGCTAGTTGATTTTTGCGGCATTTGGTGATCTATACCAGAAAGAATATGTCATTTCATTTCATTCTCATCATAATATTATAAGCTCAATACTTACTCAGTTTGTTCATCACTTATCCAATAGTTGTTCACTCTGTATTTAATTCATCAACTAAGAACATCTCGGGGAGAGGGGTAGTGGGGAGAGCCAGAAGGAGTGAGGGAGCAGAGCTGTTGTGATGCATTGTATGAGAGATTAGTAATAATAATAAAACCCCGTATATCCAGATAAGCAGAAAGCAGTGGCTTCTGCAGTGGAGGAGGCTTTTACAATTTATTTGAGGAGGCAGACATTAAACAACTCACTAAGGAGATACCAAAATAATCAAAATTGTCATGAATTCAATGAAGAAAAATTACAAATCAAGTTTAGAGCATGAAAATAAGGACCTAACTTGGTTGTGGGGCCAGGAAGAATCTCTCTGAATTAGAGATTAAAAACATAGATTTGATATTTAAAGACTTAGGTGGTAGGAGTGGGTACTGCAGCGTCCATAGGTAGAATGCTCAGTGTGTGAGCACAGAAGGATATGGAAGTATGGCTAAGGCATATTGAACCAAGATGTCATGCAGGATGAGTCTATAAAACGGCTAAATGGGTGACTTATAGAGTTAGCTTAGGGTTTTGTTGTGAAAGACCTGGGTGTCATTACACTGTTGAAGGCAAAGGAGTGGCATGTAAATATTAAAGTTACGAAATGTAATTCTGGATGAACGAATAGAGGGGGTGGGGGAGCAAATGTGGTTATAGTTCACTTGAGTTCAGAGCCCATGGAGTTGCCTGAGGACGTAGTAATAATAATGTCAATAAACACATTACACTGACCAATGCATAATAGTCTGAACACCATCCAGGATCCTCAGATGTATCAATTATTTTAATGTTCAGAATAGTGATGTGGAAACTATTATCTTTACTTGGCAATAAGGAAGCTGCTGGACTAGGGTGGTAGCATCTGTGATTGCATAATTGCATAGAGTGAATCCAGTTAAGATATAGAAATAGTATCAATAGAATTTCATGATTACAGGACAGGTAGGCAAAAGAATAACTCTTGAGCATTTGACATTAATAATTCCACAGGAGGATTGCATTTTTAAAATGGGGAAAATTGGAGAAAAGTCAGGTCCATGTTTAACAATATTGTACCTATGATATTGGCATCAGCATTTTTAAAAAATCTTTTAAAAGCCAAACAATGTTTGGCGAAGATAAATTTTAAAATACTCAGATTTTCTTTATCTAGAATAAAATTCCAGTTTATTTATATTTATTGTGCTTTGAGTTTTCTTTTCTTGTTTTAAATTTATTTATTTGTTTTACATACTGACTGCAATTTCCCCTCCCTCCTCTCCTTCCATCCTCCTTCCCATCTCCCCTTACTTTAAATGTTAAAAAGGAGACACAAAGTTATTTAGAAGCATTTTCCAGTCCTATTTATGGATGATTCTCCTGAGGAGAATTCTGGATTCATAATAACCTTTATTTTATTGCTTTAAATGCTCAAGGTCTTAATGCCCTACATACAGGTCTCCTCTTTGTAGTAGTACTTTCTCGTTGGGACCACCAGCCCACAAATAACAACACAGAGACTTATTATTAATTATGAAAGCTTGGTCATTAGTTTAGACTTATCTTATTAGCTCTTATAATGTAAATTGACCTGCTTTTATTAATCTATGTTCTGCTATGTGACTTGGTTACTTCTACTCTGTACTCTGTGTCTGACCTCTTCAGTGTCTTCTGCATGCCTAGATTTCTTCTCCTCTTCCTTTTTCTACCTGAAAATCCCACCTAATTTCTTCTTGCCTAGCTATTGGCCACTCAGGTCTTTATTAAACCAATCAGAAGGTGCCTTAGTCAGAGACACATTTTTAGGGTGTACATAAAAAAAAACACTCTCTGGTATTTTGGAGAATGGAAGGAAATGGGTTCTAAAAGTTAGAGGCAGAAAAGGTACATAGAGTTCAAGTCACCAGCTTGGTTAGTTATAAGGAAACATGATTGCAGTTAAATTGGATGAATCAGTGAACCCTGTATTGAGACTTACTCACAAATTAGTTGAATGCAATTTCAGGAAATCAAAAAAACAATGAATTCATTTGAAAGACATAAAACTACAAAATTTGCAATAACACTAAGTATAGTTGATTTTAAAGAAAAAATGAGAGGAGATTAAAATTGAGATATTTAAGAGCATAACTACTACTTGAGTAAATTATTTATATACAAATTAATCATGTTTAAATTCCTTGATTCCTTAATGAAAATTAAGAGGAAATTGAGTCTTGAGTTTTTTAAAAAAACTAATTTCTGTTTATAATTAATATATAGTTATTATATGTATTCTGAGGGTAAATTAGTGTCATAGTCAGTGATATCATTGTGGTTAAAATAATCCATAATCAGTGACATCAGCCAGACTTGAAGAGGATTCCTAAAAGATACATTCAGCTCAAACATAGGGATTCTATCATCGTGTTGCAGACCTGAAGGTAGGAGTTTTGAAGCATCAATTTTTGGCATAACGCATTTTGAGAAGGAAGTACAAGAGCTAGTGAATGTCCACTGTGAATTCAAATCCATGAAGGAGAAATGCCAAAGGAGAGGAAGGAGGTGGGTGTCTTGGACTCCAGTTCTTAGGAAACCAAAAATGCTGCATGAGCCTTGAGGATGAGACTTGGTAATGAGAGTGAAAGTGCAGCAAAGCCCCGCGGCGCTAACGACCTTACATGACTCACCAAGGACCAATTCCAAATGTTATTTGGTAGGACAGTATTATCACATAAAAGTCAGTCCTTTATTATGACTTGCTTTGATGCTCAGCCAGAAACTATTTCTTGGGAAATATAAAAATCTGTTTTTGTTCCAGGAATTATAAAAAGTTGTGTTTGCCATGACATTTACAAAGGATGTCTAAGACGCCACAATTTAGAGTTGAAGAGACAACCCAATGGCACTGAAAATGTTGCTCACATTTAAAGAGAAACCGATGCATATTATTTTATTAGTGAATGTGGAATATCATAAGTGTGTGCTCTTTTCCCTTCTTTACATGTGCACATGTTCCTTCAGCGTGGTTGAAAATGATTGTCTTTATGAAATCGGAAGAACTCATGATTATGCTCAGCTCCGAGCCCAGCATAGCATGTATTTGCTGAATAGATTCACATTAGTCATTTTTTTCTGGTAGGATTAGAATTTGTTTGGCATTGTGAAGTTTGGGTAATTCTTCTAATTGTAAACAAATAAGATGCTGCAGCACTAGACTAACCTTGAGACACTGTTTTGACAGAGATTCCCTTCAGTGCCACCCCAGTGAATGCCTTTTACAGCGGATGTATGGAGGTACACATCAACGGTGTGCAGTTGGATCTGGATGAAGCCATCTCTAAACATAATGACATTAGAGCTCACTCGTGTCCATCGGTTAGGAAAAGCCAGAATAACGTCTAAAGTCTGTTTTCCATGCTTATAATCTCCCTTTCCTTGTAATGATGCTCACGTCTCTATCACCAGCTGGCAGGTGTTACCTGGGATGTGCAATGCTTGAAACTGTGTGGTACTTTGTCCTTCAGATTTTTGTTATATAAATCACATTTTTAAAAAGTTTGGCTTCCATTGCAGTCTAGAAATGAAATAATGAAAACACACGAAAATTTCAATTTATTTGCTATAAATGACACTGCTTTAGTTTGTTATTTTGAAAGTAAGATTTCACCATCATTGAACTGGTATTGAAATACCTATTTTTCTCAGAAAGCAAGGTGGTTAAACCCAAACAAAAGCTTGTGTGACTACATGTTAATAGCTGCAGATAGACACTGTAGTTTTGCTGTTGTGCCCCACCTCACCACCATGAAAGCCGCAGAGCTGATAGCATCCTGAATGTGAGTTGAGTGGAAAGTCTCACAGCTTATTCCAAAGTACTTCCTTGGAGTGGGGAGCAGCTAGCTCAGGCTTCATCTTCCTTTTACCTAGCTTTACACTTGAGCCAACACCTTCCCTGAATTAGAGAGCAAGGGTAGGTTTTGACGGGAGCAGTGCTTGAATGTTGCCTCCAAGGCACTGATTTCTATCAGAAACATCAGGTTAAGCTGTAAGGGGTGTGAACATTGGGTGGACACATTTCTCAAACATGGCTGCAGAGGCCACATGAGCTCTGAATCTGAAAGGCAGCTGTCCTTAGTGGTGGGAAGGAGAGTAAACATGTGGAGAAATCCATAGTTTTCCTTTACTCGGGCTTTTAATTACTGTAGATGGCTTGAATGTGATTGTTGAAGTAGAGTAGCTTTTTTAACAAATAGATAATGATAAGAGGGATGCTGGAAATGGTTATGTTCTATCTTTGTAATGAAGGAAGTACGGAGGTGAGTTTGTCAAGTATTTGCTGGTAGTGCATTGTAAGTGGCAGGCTATTTTGCTGTTCCTGAATCAGTCATTTCAGGTGTGTGTCAGACATTTTGTTGCTGTCTGAGGAATTAAATTTTATTTTACTGTAGATATTTTACACCACATGAAAAATAATAAAATGATATGTATTTTTAAAGTATATGGATAATGTCTTTATTTGAACAATTCACAGCATAAAATTATGTAATGCGCATCTCAGTCTTCGT